AAGCTTTGTAAATCGAGCTGAAACTGTGCTTGGAACCTTGCGTTTCCTGTACTTATCTCACCTGTTGTATGGAACATGTGTGAAAAAATCTTCATTGTGAATCGGTATATTTCAAAGAGGTACACAACGAGCAAGAATACTATTGACCGACAATATACAGAACGGGGGCAGCTGTAGTGTCAACTATTACTAGTTAATAGCTATTGGTAAAGTGGTAATGGAAAGCATGCCAGAAACTGACCCGGGGGGGTCTCTAGGGAGTTCCGTCGAGGCCCTCAACACCTGACTCTGTTTAAGACAAAAATCGCGTTTCATTCTGCTATCTTGTTCAAGATTAAAGACCCTGATTCCTTTTAAAAACCATACAGAAGAACTGAAGTATTTTTTTTAACTAGCGTCATGGAATTAGACTGCCATTGGAAAAAAAAAATCGTTGGTACCACACACGTAGATCGCTCATCGCCAACTGTTACGCTTCTCTACTAAAAGGCTGTCAGTAAAAAAATACGCAATGTTCAAGACGCTGAAAAGTGAAATTTGGGAATTTAAGAAACGACGTTTTCGAACGACGCAGATCAACCGGAAGTGGATTTTTTGTGCTCTTGAGGCATGATTTTGAACAAATGTTTGGGCAGATCTTCTCTATAAGAGTAAAGACAAATTTGCTAGCGTCAAGGCATATTATAATAGAAAAAGGCCCACTTACGGTTGACGTGCGTCTCTCAAAGACGTCGCTGCTTAAACTCCCTATTGCATATCCTGTTTAAGCCTCGAGACCCTGAAAACCATACCCTCTTGGGTGGTACTACATACCCGGTTAGACCGAGTAAAGGATTGCCCCAGCCTCCCCTTCCCCCCTGGCAGGGAAACTCATACTACAGTGGAACCTCTATATAACGAAGTCCTCGGTGTAACGAACGATTTTCTTTACCCCAGTAATAGTAAAATGTATGGAAAAGAACCTCGGTATAACGAAACTTCTTTATAGCGAACTAATTTTGCCAATCACTTCGCTGTTCGTTATATCGAAGATATACTGTAGACGCATAATGGCTCAGTCAATTACAAGCATGCTTATCCCCCCGGGCATTTGTAGGGCTTTTTTCATCTTGCCGGTCCCGACGGTGGGGAATTTGTCAGAAAACCTCTACCCGGAGGTGGTGCATTTGTCAATTCTTCTAGAAGAGGTTAACATCGCTCCTTTATCAATATTTCACTTAAAAATATGACTATTTCAGCCCTGGAAATTTCTGTTAGCACTTAGCTAAAACGGGCATTTTTCGCAAAAACAAGAAAAGTGGAGGTCGGCCGTTCAGAGGAACGGGTTGGAATTCTGGTGTGGTCTCGAGAATGCTTGACTGTTTTTGATTCACTGCGACACGTGTATGAATATGTGTCTACTCACGGTGATTAACGAGAACGTCAGTGGAGGACGGGAAAGCGCACGGAAAGGACTGAACTCGACTTCCGGTGCCCAATTCGCCGCTCTGCTATTGGTCAAGCCACTGCCGTCACGTTGTCGTAGCTTAGTCTGCCTAATGACTGCCTGAAGTAAGTAGTAGTTTGTCAGAAGTATGTTACAAAAGTAAATTGCGGTCACGTGGTTGTTGAAAGAATTTTAGTTTAATGAAAAGAAAGAACTTCACCTGTAGAAGGTAACCCAGAGTAAAGTTATAACTGATAGTAAAATCTACGTATTGTAAAATTATAAAAACTAATGAATCACATCTTGTCTCTACAGCACAAAAAACGAACGTTTCTCGAGAACAAACAGGTTGCTTGAACTTCGAAAGCGCTTCTATGAGCGATGATTCTCTAATGTGGTTTGGCTGGTTACAGCAATTTTCTTTTCTGATCAATTGTTGTCCCGATTCTTCTGAAAAGAAATGTATTTTTGAGCGATGATTCTCTAATGTGGTTTGTCTGGTTACAGCAGTTTTATTTTCTGCTGAATTGTTGCCCGATTCTTCTTAAAAGAAATGTATCCTTCCTTTAGATTCTTTCACTTTTTACAAAAATGCGCACAAAGCTTCTGATTGATTATTATTGCTGATAATCTACGAGTTGAAGACACAGGGAGCCCAGTCAGCCAATAGGAACTGTTTCCTTAAGCAGCCAGTTGAGAGCGCTAGTACGGCCCTGTTCTCTTAGGGCGGCACCCACTTTCTCAGCGCATAAGCCATGATACCAGTTAATCCATTCAACCTGAAAGAAATAATCAGGAAAAAGTTGGCCACACCCTCCCCCTCTCCGTGTTTTCTTTGTCAAGGGAGGGGTAGGGGGGGCGAATGCGGCTACCTGTAGGCTACGGAAAAAGCTGTGGGAACGAGGTTGGTTTAGTATAACTTTATACTACCTAACAAACAATACTAAACACACTAAAGCCCATGATACAACACCCACTACACAAACAAGACAGACTAGAAAGTAAATAATGATTATCAGCACGTACTTCAACACATAAATGTAATGTCCTGATATGCACTACATTACTCTACACTATACCACACCAAGCCAAGACACAAACACAACACGACCACGACCAAGTGTAAATGAAAAACACCCTGACACAAAGCCAAGCAACACACTAATGAACAAACAAAACGCGAGAAAACACTGCTAATGACTGTTGTTAGTTGCGCCAGCTATATTCACTTTGGCTTTCAAATCCGAGTTGAAACCTTTGGAACATCTTAACACCCTGTCCTTTTAAGTCTCTCCCTCATCGAAAGATGTAAAATCACTTGCAATACTATTTCTCTTATTGAGAAGAGTACTAGTGCCAGGCTGCTAGGTGTTCTAAACATTAAACAACATACATAAAGATAAAAATGTAAATAACCAAACCTCATCAGTTGTCAACATGGAGGGCAAAAGAAGCTTGGTTTGTATGGGAAACTGCAAAAGATAAAAGTATCACAAAAGAAACAAGCTAACATAAGCCTTCAAATGTCATGGTTTCCACTATTTCGAGCTGCGAGTTGCATTATGCAATTGCACTTCAGATCAAGCAGGGCAGACTGACTTCCTTGAATTTTTCCTATGATTTCCTCCAGCCTTCTTGACAGGCGCAAAATTCCCTGTCCTTTTTCCTCTCCCTTCCTCTCAGATTTCCTCGCGTGCCATGCAAGCTGGGTTTCCCTGAAAAAGTTAATTTCTATAATGGGAAAGAGGGCGTGAAGGGAGACGACAAAGTTCGCTTTACTAATTCGATATTCTAGGTGCAAGTTTTTCGCTCTCGAGAACACGATGAAAGCAGCTCGCCCGAGAATTTAAGGCAATTTTTTTCCGCAGTGTTAAAAAGGTGTTTAATATTTTCGAAGCTTGATGTACTATATCAAGCATGAGATGCAGTGTTTCATCGCCAGATTTCCAAATTTTCCAGATTTTCCAAAGGTGTTTTATCCGGTGATGAAACACTACCATAATGCTTGGTTACCCAAACAAACATAAAAGATTTTAGAGGGGGCCATTTTAACGGATGCAAAAAATGAGCAGTTTTTCATCTGATTTCCAAACAGTCATTAAACATTAATTTCTTTTGAATTTTCTTGATTAATTATTAGTGAGTTTGAGAACTAAACATAGTACCGAGTTTATTGAAACTCTGACAACATGTATCGCGGGGAAAATCGCACGCCGCGAGTTGACAATGAAGATAAGAAGATATGAAGATATGACAAAATGAAGATATGACAAAAACCGCATCTAAAATCGTAGGTGTAAGCCGGTATAAACAAAGAGCTTGCTTACAGGCTATAAACTCTCAGTCTTTTAACTTTACTGTAAACGGATATACCGAAATCAATTTTTGCTTATGTCATAGCCTTAGCGTCAAACTGGAAACTAACATTTCTTCTGTACCATCTTGGGGGCATTGCTTTACTAAACCAAAAAGAGAAAATCTGTCTAGTTTATGTTACTGCTTTGCTTTATTAGCAGTGCCAAAAGAAACACCTGACTTTTTTAGGAGAACTAACCAAGGACACTGCAGGAAAAAAAAACACACACACACAAATGAAAACTTTTTAGGTCGTAAAGTTAAGTTTACTGAAAAGAAGAAATCAAAAAAGACATTTACGCTATTAGAACCATTCATTTTGCCTCAATTTAACGGTCTTGTTATACAGCCTTTTTTTTAAACAAAAAAGCCCTTTTCTCACGACCAAACGGAATCCGTTCATCTTATTGAAGAGTATCTTTCCGAGGGAAAACACTTCAAAACTCAAGGGACCACATAGCTAAAACATCGAAGGTAGGTCTTCTCTATTCATTTTACTCAACAAAGTTTAAATTGATCTTGATCAAGCGTCCTCAAACCCCAGTAGTTTCATTTCTTATACAAAATCTCTTTTATTTTTACGGTCACTTGTGCATAAGCGACTGCGAACAAAACGTACAAAAACATAACATGAAATAAACATAATACTTCAAAATTACAGAAGGAAGCTCCACAATTGAATGGTTAGTTTTCCGCCAACTAACACGACCCTTTCCGCTCAGGTCAGGAAATTGTAGAGAAATCTTTTCTTTAAAACTGATTTTCTTTACCTTTTCTTAGGTGTTTTTGGGTTTCTAAAAGACAAAAATTAATCTTGCGCGTTAAAAATTATGCATAAAATATTGAAACGTATTAAACGCGGTCGATTCTCATTACCTTCTATAAAAACGACGTTGACAGACATAAAGGTAACAGTTGTTTATTTTCAGACCTTAAGTTTTTATTTTACGACCTAAATTTAAAATTGAATGATATAATTATATAATATTATTGCGCCTTTTTCCCTCCAGGTTACGCTTAACCTGGAGTGGAGAGTCAAAAGCGATCTGTCGAAACTGCAAAAAGAGTAACTTCGCTTGTTTGCTATAAGTAAGTAAACACTGGCCAGTCAGCGAGTCAAAGTAGAGCCTGAAAAGTGATTCACTGTTTTTAGTCAGCGATAAAAAGCATTACCCTAAGAAAGAGGCCCTTCCATCTTTTTAGATAAGTCGGGAAAGAATCACTGCTACTCAAAGAAAATATCTGAGTTTGGAGTGTGGCATCTTACCCTTAAAACTTCGTGACAGGGAAAGAGTATTTACTTTTATTTAAAAACGGTACAAAAACGGAAAAATAGCTGCGTGCTCACACAAAAATTACATAACAAAACATCAAAAATCTCCATAAAACCCTCAAAAAAAGGGGGGAGAGCGACGGTTATTTCAAAACTGAGAAGCTAATAATTTCTTTTCTTTTCGTCATTTTTATGTTAACTTCAGAACTGGGAAGTTTCCAAGAAAGGTAAGATTTCATTTGATATTTATAATCGGCCTTTTGCAGGCCGTAATAAACAGTAGCGTCGCCAATACTCCGCCTTTGAATAAAAACTGACTCCGAACACGATTTTAACAATTTCAATTATCTTAAAATCTGAAATTCCCATATCGTTTCTTTTCAATTGTGCTAACGACGACAGCAAACTTCGACTAAATTTTCACTTTTGTATGCATCGAATCAAAAGAGAAAAATAATCCCGCTAAATAGCTTTCGTAGCCATAAGGGAACAGGACTGCTACTCCTTGTAGTGACAGAGCAGTTAAATAACAGAAAAATTACTTGACAAATCCAGTCGGTCTAGAAAGTTTGGAGAAGCGCCACGATAAGCATCATTTGCGATTTCCATAAATTTCCAACTAGTGGTCTATTATTTGCCCCCAAAATTTTGGTTGAAGCATTGTTGTCGTTTTGTTTCGGACGGCTGTCAAGCGCCAGGAGAAATGAAAACAATGGCTATGAATTAAATTTGCTAGCAAAGTTGTGTTCTCTCGATATTTTTGACCAACTGGTTGAATTTTTCTAAAACAATTATTAATCTACGTCAGCATGGAACCGATCGCCAAGAGTAACTATTCAGCTATAGCACCTTTCTTGTTCATAAGTCCATGTATCTGTTCAGTTTGGTCAAGAGAGGAGCTTTATCCTCTCTTGGGTTGAATCAATTTGAATCGAAACTGGCTTACGATGTCGGTAGGTCGCCATTTCTCCCTCCTTACCCATTGATTTTCCAATCATAAGCGTTTGCAAATTCCTCAATCCCTCGGCGAAAAAGCCTAGCAACTCCTGGTAGTGACAAAGTAGCGACTAAATAGGACAAACTATACCCCCTAAAGTCCATCCACACAAAATATAAAATATGCTCTGTACCAGTGCCTGACACATGGTAAACCAAGACCTGGTGGACGGAAAATTCTATTCCACGAATATGCTGCAAAGCTAATCAATCCAGAAAATCCGCCCTCTCCCTAACGAAATTCGCACTTTGGCACAGGACCGCAAAGCTTGGAAGCGTACAGAGGTCGACTGTTGGCACCAATGGGAACCCCCATGAGCGCCTCAGCCGAGCAGAGAGAGAGATCCAAATACTCGACAAATAAGGGTTTGCTTTAACACCGGAATCCGGAAAGTTCACGCCGAACCTTAAATGACTGAACTTTAGTGACCAGGGTTAGGAAACTGAGTGAATCAAGTTTCAGGTCAGTTTGCCCAGTATAATGACCCTGTATATGGAACCTGATTCACTCAGGCTACTTTCCTGTAGCTCATTATTCAACTTAGTGTAAATCCCTAACACAAATAAGATTTCATAGGAAGGCAAAACCGCAAAAAATGGCAAAACTTAAGTCATCTCACACGAATAGTAATCAATCTTTTTGTTAACTTGAGAGTCGATCATTGAAAGTCCAACTACAACAAACAAACATTGACGTTGAGATTGCCGCTCAGTGCAACTGAATGTATAAAGGTTACGTATCTTGCATGTCATTCAACAACAAAAGTGCCTTTACAAATAAAATATCATCTAAGCACACGACATCGCAGGCAGTTTTTGAAAACGCGTTGTCATGCACACAATTCATTGCAATTTTTCGCGCAACATCACATCTACGCGACCACAACAGTTACCTATAATCGCGCCCTTACATAAGAAAAGCGGGACACAAACGAGTACGTAAAATGGTCTTAACAATGGTTTCAAAACTATCATTGACCAACACTCTTATTTTTCTACTTTTTTTCCCGAACAGATGGAAGACTCAAACTTGTTCAATCTCTCAAGCAACAAGCTATCCACTGAAACTACCAACAGCACCGCAGACATGCCTGACAAAGTTTACACAAACTTGCCAAGACGTTTTGATATAAAAATTGGTCTATTTGCACTGTTTGTGATTCTTGGTCTCGTAGGACTACTGGGAAATAGCCTTATTCATTACTTCGTTTCAAAGAAAAAGTCATTTCCATTATTACAGTCAACTCCTTTCGCTAGAAACTTTAATCTTTACATCAGGAGTTTAACTCTGTCATATATACTTTCTAGTTTGGTTTTACCTCCGATGTTATCTGTACAATTGTTTGATATATTTCATAATGACTGGCCTTGTAGAATAGTTCGATACATTGGCATGTTGTTTCCCACCATAACACTGAATAATTTAATTGTCATAAGCGTGGAGAAATTCTCATCAACCCGCGACGTTCCCAAATCGTTCAGTGTTGCTACTGTTCGTAAATTAGTTGGTGCATGGATCATAGGTTGTCTTTCATTATCGGCTCCCGCAGCAACAATGAGCGTTGTAAGATCCAATATTAATGGTACACATTACACAGTGGACTGTAGGATCGATAACAGTTATATTACTTACAGAGCAATCGAGCAAGGTTTTGGATTGATGCAATTCTTTATACCAAGCATAATTTTGCTTTGTATTAACCTCATCATAGCCAGAAGAGTATGGAAAAGGCAAAGTAGAAGAATTAACATACAACGAGACAACGCCATTAGGGCGAAAATGAGATCGTCTCAAATCAGAGGAACATATCTTCTCATTTTCTTTGCTGTTGCTTCCATTCTTCCTTATATATTTTTAAACTGTTTTTCAACCTACTTGAAGTTTGCTAAACATTCACTCAGTGAACTTGAGGTAGATTTTATAAAACGCTATCTTGGTGGAGTACTCTTTCTTTTGACCAGCGTGATAAATGTTCTCATGTACATAGCTCAGATGAAAGATTTTCGAGTTTTTTTAAAGAACACTTTCTGCGGTAAAGGCAATACTAACGTTTATCCTCAGTGATCTCAAGCGACTTATTATCCTTAGACCAAAAACGAACAAGAAGGTCAAATGTCTCCGGGAAACTATTAAAGCTTATTAATTAACTCATGCGGTTGTTCAGTCGCAAAGGAGATTGCATGAACGAAGGACTTCAATTTGAGTGAAACGTTTGTAATTTACTGATAGATCAGTACAGCTAATAAACTAAGACGTTACTAACCGAGGTTAAATTACGTCTACGACGCAGGCTAGTCACATTTGACCTTGTTAATAATTTAGTTGGAATATTGTATATTATCTTTAATGTATTTCTGTATACTGTTGTTGTATTTCTGGTTAATGGCAAAATAAATGAATGAATGAAAACCTATTTATTTTTGAGTTGGGAGGTTAACAAAACACTCAATGACTTTTTCCCTTGGGGCCAGTCATTGAATGCTTATTATTAATTTCGGTTTTTGTGAGTGAGAGGTTGAAGCTGCCAGAGCTTCGTCATAAACGGTAAACTGATGGACATGCTTACCAGCGTAACAGGTTCAAAGCCTAGATATCCTCTGTTCTTAAAGTTGTTCTGTTCAAAGAAAAAAAGGAGTGGCTTGAAATAAATAAATAAATAAATAAATAAATAATAAATGATAAAAAAGTATCTAAAGAGAAACGTCAATAATCATCGGTCATTACTTCTAGCACCACAGGTTTTACAAGCAACACATTTTCAATGCGGATTCCAAAAGAACCATCTTCATAGAAGCCAGGTTCTACGGAGAAAAACACAACAATTAGTTTGTGGTTTTGTGTTTTTAAATTCAATAGCATTTTATACTAGTTATAAAGGACGCTCGAGGAAACATCCAAAAACCAACCATCTTTGAAATACTTTCGAAACAAAAAAGCGGCCGGGAAAACCCTTTCATGAGATCCTGCAATGCAGGTGAAGACGTTTTTGTCTCGTCACGTAACGCGATGCTTGACGAGACAAAATAGGCTGCGTGGAAGACTAGTCAAGTCTTGGAGTGTATCAATTTAGAGAGGTCGGTCGTTTGTCTTCATTTCGTTGGCGGCATGTTGACGTCGCGATTACCCAATTATTAGCAGTTAAATTAGTTACATCAACAAAGACCGCCATTTCGTGTTATCGGTAAGCGGTCAGCATAGTGGCGCAGGCGCAGCCAGCCTTCTTAACATTAGCTCCATGTGTTTGGTACCGCGTTTTCTTGGCGGCCACTGACTTTCGTTTAGCCTGTAGATCATGTGTTTACCCCCTTCCCTATTTCTCTTTATTTTCTCGACTGATTTGTCAGTTTGACGGTTGCCTGGTTTCTTTTGGCTTGGGGGCCCATGGCTGGGTGGCGAGGATTTTTTAGCTCTGGTCATCTGACGCTGTTTAGGGGATACTGGATAGCTATACCGAGAGTGGACATCCCTGAATATCCCAGGCACCAAGCCTCCACTAAGCGATTTGATACTAACGGCGTGTTATGAGTTCTCTTACTTTAAAACAATATGTTCAGATTTCTTCTCATAATGTGATGAGGGGAAATTCTCGTGACTAAAAGAGAGGCTGAGCATCTGGTTTATGTCGAACAGCAAACGAGAATTTGTACCACGTGATCAAGTTTCCCCTTAATTGTCGTTTAATACGGTTCATTATTTCTACACATAATTTAGTAGTTTCACGCAATTTTGTATCCATAAGGATTGTTTTGAGCTGCTTTTATCTGCTTATTTTCTATTTTGGGAAATTCTAAGCTTGAATCTGACGTTTGCCGTTTGCCGTAGACGTGAAGCTTACACGCTCTAACGTTAGCAGAATAAGCTTAGTGGAAGTAAGAAAAATCTACCATATTAAGCTTGTGACTCACCATCAGTGACCATCATGCCAGCCTCTAAAGGAGCTTCATTTTCAGTGGTCCGGCTGCCTATTCTCTGAGGACCTATCACGATAATGTGTATAATGAAAAGAATCGCATAAAGGCTGACTGAGGTAAATTCTTGAAGCCCATCCTATAGAAGTGAATCTTCACGCAACGGGCAGATAACGTTATTTCTTTTTGCTAACCACTTTAACTATGAAGTCCAAGTGCTGTTCAAACCCGAAGCGAAATTTCCGGAAATTTCGGTCCAAAAGTAAATGAAACGGTTCGGCCCAAGTGGAAATTTTCCGGTCAAAGTGGACCATCTCCAGAGGTGGTCCTCTTTGACCGAAACTTCCCGTTCCAGTTCCAAAAATTGTCGTTTCCAGTCCTATTTTGCTAAGCAGTAGTCATAATTTCGGTCGAAATGTAAATGGATCGCTTGATTCGATTGAAAACTTTGTTTCAACTGAGAAATGTCGTTCCATTTTCTCTTGATAATTTCACTGGTTTCTAGCTGGTTGGTTTGGCAAAATGGAAAACACCGTATGTAACGGCGTTTTCAGAGATCAGTTTATTTTTAGCCTCAATTTGGAACATTTTTCCCGCGAAATTCGGGAAGTACCACTTCGTATGTGTGTGCGTCTGTACATGTAGTATGAAAAAAGAAAAAAACAAAAGTAAATATCATCAGAACATCAGAGATACTATTCTCTGGTCTTCAGCAACTGCTGACTGATTTGTAACATTTATTTGATAGTCAAAATTCGCGAGAAGATTGATCTAAAAATAAAGTTGTCCTTGATAACGCCGTCGGGTGGACACAAGGGAGTTACTCGCTCCGCGTTATGGGCTCCTGGTACAGAACATGTAATTGCTACAAATGAGATGTAAATTCGGGATCTCCGCGGTAAGGAAGGTGCCTATCAGCCAGTTGGATGAGAGATAAGGCATCACGCTCTGTTGTATTCTCCCATGTCACGTGATAATACTTAAAGAAGTGAGCTCTTTTAATATCGCACACAATACAGGATTTTAAACATAGGGAATATCGTGTGATTTGTAACGGTTAGTTAGCTGATGAAAAGCGAATGAGGTTTATTTGACATTTAAGTCAAGAGTTTTACGAAAATAATATCTAAGTAGCACAAATGTCCTAGTCCCTAAAGGACGCACGGACGTCGCTTACCCTCGTGTACGTTTAAAAATGAGCCAATTCCATGTCCTGTGCCATGCAAAAAGTCCAGTCCCACATCCCACAACGCCATGCGGGCTAGAGCGTCCAGTCTGTGTCCTACAAAAAACACCCGTCGTTAGAAGTCGAGTATTCCGTTGAGTAATAAACTAATTAAACTGGGAAATAGCTTTCTATACGTGCTCTTCCACGCACTGCCTGAAATTACGCTTCATGTTAGTCGAGCTTGTTTGTTTCGTGCTTGGAATGAAGTTATAGACGCAAGGCATTTTTGAGAAGAGGAAAGCAGCTGAAAAATTTGAAAAACAGGAAGATATAAATGTTTTCCCTTTCGTTCGCTGTTGTCGGATTACAGAGGTTTGCATTATTCTATGTAAAAGTGAAGTTTATCAGGATCAAGTCATGTGTTTGCGGAAGAATGCCTATCCTTTAGGGAGAGGTTCGACAAAACATATTTAAAAACGTTCAACATTGGAGAAAAACTCTGTTTCAGCTTCTTTCGTTTTTCTTCCCCCGTTTTCTTCCTTTTGCTAGGCAGCAACTAAGCTTCATTTCGCTGCGAGATGTTTTTGCGAAAATTCCGAGGATCTTGAAATTACTTTGAGGGCAGTTAGACTAAGTGAAACAAGATCTTAATTAGAATTTTCGTGTATTTTTGCGTTTCATTTTTTTTCTTTAGACTGTTTAATTAAACCACCCTTGTTTACCTAAAAAGGTTAAAATTTATGAAGTCACAAGTATCACAAGGGATACGAATACACAGGGCAGTTAGGCTCGCTTGAGGTGTGAATGTATTACACACGCACAATAACTTAGGTACCTTTAAATTGGTAAATTGGTACAAACCTGTAGTCTTGTTGGGGAAGACAGCTCTTGCCAGTGCAATATGGCCTTTTAACACACGCGTAAAACATTCCTATAAAATTAAGAAGAAATCTACTAATGAAACGGCTTGCAAATATAGAAAATATTTCGCGACTTCGTGAAGCTGAATACAGAAAACAATTCTCGCCCTGTCAATGGAAAGAAATTGAAGCCACGAATGAAAATTTACTCTTTATCTCTACGTTTGCCGACTTCTCTAACAAGAGACGTTTAATTTCAATTTTTAGAGTTAATTGGGCGGAATTTGCGAGCAGGGGAACCCGACAGTCGGGCAAAGTTTCCAAGGATAGTTTTGTCAAAAGCTACTTAAACGTTAGGGCAGCAAAAAGTTGGTTACACGATTTCAGCTACTATTTAGGTTTAATAACTTAACCCTGCGATGCAATTCGTGGTATGTAAGACAGGGTGACCTGCTTTCTAAAGTTATATTTAAGATGGCTGGATGGGGTTTTTTAGGATGAGTATCTCTCCAGTTTGAGCTTAAACTACGTCGCCATGAACAAAGATTTGGAAAAATCACCAGTGACCACCACAGCTGTATCAGATAACGATAAAAATTTGTTTTGAGCAGGGTTACCATGACATCAGGGTTGTTATAGCAACGAGAAAACGCCATTAATAATTTTACTGGCAGCCGTATTTCTCGGCACTGGGAACTCTTCCAAAATCGTCCACGGGAACTTTTTAGTCGTTTCGCTCCCGAAGCTACGCGCCTTGCAAAACCAAATTTCAAAAAAGAAAAACGGACTTTTTTGCAGTCTAATCGACGTATTACACTGCACTCTTGAAAGTAAAACATCACGTAACCCATGTTCTACTTACCCGTTCCCACTTTGTGGGAGCTCCGAAATGCCAAGTTCGGGTCACATCAGTTGTTCCATCCCTAGAACGCAAGCGAAATGCATTTAAAAGTCCCATAAGGTAAAAGGAAACAAGTGAAGTAGTGCACAGACTTGATCTTAGCCTACGTAGCTGACGGTTTTGGTGAACGCGCAAAAGAGCGGCAAAGCTGCGTAAGCAGGCACCTAGGCCCATTCTCCACGTGGCTCTACGCCGTTTGCTCGCTCTCAACTCCTTCTAATAGGGAGCTTAAGCAACGACGACGGCGTCGTCAACGAGAACGGCAAAAAAGCAATAAGTTTAGATTGGCAAACAAGAGCTTTGCACGTACATCACGCTGTTTTGTACATTTCTTTACCGTCACCGCAGGAGTACGACGTAAAAATGCCTAATTCTCGAGGACGGGAACACGAGACACAACTTTCCTTTTCTTTTCGTGAACTTTGATACAGTCGTTTAGAATTCAAGTCCAAAAAAATTGCCAACATTTGACGAATTATACGAGATGGAATAAGCCGCCGGCTACGCAAGAGTAGTATAGTAGGGACCGAAGTATCCGGGTTTTTTGAAATGGCATTTCATTAGTTCAGCTGAAGTGGAATACATGGACCTTTTCCTTTCCCCTTTTAACCTTAACCTCAAACTCTCTTTCCCTATGCGCAGCTATGAAGCAGGCTTTGCGGGCTGACACAGCTAGTCACCTCTCTTAAATATACTTTTGATAAAAGGATTGGGTATCACGTTAGTCGGCGAGTAGTATAGTAAGGACTGAATTATCCTAAATGTCGAAGAGAATCTGTGTTTGAGCTTTCACTTCTTTGACCCAGAGACCGCCAAATATTTTTAAATCTGGTAGTTAAACTACCAGATTGATGACCAAATATTGAACAATCCTTAACTGAAAAGGTGAAATAAGTAAAGAATTCTTTACTAAGTGCAAGTTATTCTTTAAACCCAATCTGAATGAATAGAACTGAAATATAAACGGCTGACTTACTTAAACTGTGCTCCAGAATCACATAAGTACAGCTCTTCATTGGATATAACACGGTCCGTGTCTTCAGCTGGTCTGTAAACAAGCACACAAAATGTATTACTTTGTCCTACGTTCCTAAACACTTATGGTCGGCTATTTAAGGGAGGTCCAGCTTAGACCGCGGTTTAAGAAATCTTCGGACCTCCAGATCTCTTCCATAGTGGGTTAATTTAAGAAGATCAATGCTTTTCTCGCGTAAACTACAGTCTTTAATGAAACTGTTCACGGCAATGGTGTTTAGATTAAAGCGTTGGACAAACTGAAAATGACTTAGAACGCGGTTTCGTTAAAAACTAGTTAAATTCCATCTAAATAACCGTCCCTTGATCGGTATGTTAATTATAGTCTCTATTTTACCCCAGGCTCCAGAATTACAAAGACTTCCTACGTTAAGATTCGTTAACATATCTCCTAAGAATTGGTTCTTAACAATGGCCCACTGTATTGAAACTATACTGCAAGAAATACATCTCAGCTTAAGATGGGTTTGCAAATCTGGGGCCTGGTCTCAAACTTCCAAGCATCCACATATTACCTTTCATGTTAGGCTGCAAAACAGCTTCCTTGTTTTCCTAAAAATTGGTTTGCCAAGGAGCACGCGTGAGATTCTCGAGCGAATCTCGCGAGCCTCACATGCCCATGTGGATCGAGAGAAAAAATTTCGCGTCTCTCCCCAGTTTCACTCTTTGTTTTCACCCTCGCTCCAGGACTTTTGTTTGACCGCTCCTGCGCTCTTGACCAACGCAATAATACGGACTGTATTGCAGTCTGCTTCTATTTTCGATTTTTTAACCAAGACAACCAACATGAAAAGGAACATGCTTTTGTTTGTACTTTAATATGAATACCTGTAATGAATGACCGCTCCGTTAGGGCCCACTGCTGAAATTGTCTCAAAGCTGAGGCTCATAAAGTTCTCTTGCTCTCTGAAATAAAGACATTACAACGAAGATCGTTATTTGGTATCTTTACAAAATCTGGGTGTTACCAAACGGGGAACGAAGAGCGAGGAACAAACAACGGAACGGGAAAATGAAAAAAACAAAATCAAAAACAAAACAAAAAACCGAGAGAACAAAGAATGGGTAATGGGGTTACTGATAGAGCTAGGGATTAAGGTTGGGGTTTTCCCCATTTTCCATTTTTCCGGTTCCCTGTAGCCAGCTCCAGGCGCAGGAAATAAACATGTCCGAATAGCACGTGACTGCCTTAAACACCTTGGAAATTGGCGCGCGATTTATCAACCATCACAAATTTACTGATCTCTGACAATCAAGTAATTAAGGGTGCAAATAAAATTCGGTTAACTTATCGGACAATGCCGACCGATTGAACAGATAATGACTTACTTACATGCTACACTATTCTTCTCCGAAATTATAAAACGGAGGTATTAAAAGAAGGGAAGTAAATTTTATTTCCATAATGTGATGTCATCCAAATTGTGTTTTTTTTTTTCGATCAAAATGTTAACTTACGTCTTAGTAGTCGTCAGTCTCATTCACTGGTTGACAATGCAAGACTGAAATATTCTTTAATTTATCTTCCTCACCTTCGCAGTTCTTCAAGTTTAGCTGCACCAGTGATTTCAGTAAGCTCATCTTTCGGAACTTCTTGCTCCAACCAGGAGAAGTACTCACACAAAGCTACAGCATCGCGTATCTGAATTGAAATTAAAAACAATTTCTTTATCAAGACTAAGCCATGAGTATTGGTTGGTACACGGACTACAGGCGAATCTTTGCTGGCGTCACTGTAAACATTTTTGCTCATCGGCATACGACTTAACCAGGTATGCACAAATGAAATTCCAAATTAACAAGAGATGGTTAATTTAAACAATTTGTGGAATTTTCAGCTCTTTGCAAGCAATAACAAAGGAGATAGCAGCCAATTGCTGGGTGGCATAACGTTGATGAGCCATACATTGTTAAATGTATAGTTTCGAGTTTTTCAAACATAATTTCAGCGAAACTATTCGGTCTATCGAGCTCAAATTTTCACAGATAACTGAAATTGTTATGCTCTTTCAATATTCAGAGAGATATTTCAATAGCTTGATCAGAGAATGAAACGCATGTACTAACGAGATTCATAAAAATGCGGTTTTAAGCAAGGTAGGTCTGTTGCCGGGGAACTGTTTTGAAGGTCGGTATTTCGAGGCTAGGTCCCTCTTGTTGAGTATTTTTCCTTAATTGACTAAGAAATTGTGATCTATATTTTATGTGTGGAATTTGGATCCCGTTTAGTGGCAGTATAATACGCAGCACCAGTTTGTTTATCAGTAACAGAGCTGCGAACAAGTGCGATGAGCGGGCCACTTTGGGGAAGGGGTAGAAGAGGAGACTTTGGTCTTAATTCCCCATTGATGAAGCCTAGCTTGTTCCGGAAAAAAAGAAAGATTTGTGGTTTATGTTTGTATGATTGTCGCTCATTTGTTTGAATGCAAAGGATTTTATAAACTCTCAGACTGTACAACACATGTAATAACAAAAGAATCGAATCGATATTTATCATATGGCTAAATCGGCGATCGGGCAAGAAGATTGATTGGCTAACCGAGCGGGCAAGAAGGGACCATCTTGCGCCCGTTCGGGATTTCCCGCATTGGTCCCGCAAGAAAAGTTCTCTTTTTGACCAAATGCATGATAAATTCTTTATTGATCAAGTTTGATTGGTCAAGATGGCCTCGCTCTTTTTTGCGTTTTTATTAACCTCGACTTCGTCTTGGTCCAGAACAACGCAAAAAAAAAAAAAAAAAATTAACTTGGCCAGTATGCAGTCATCTTAACCTCCCGTTTGGTCAATAACGCATATATATATATATTACTTACGTGAGCTTGTTTCATGCCCTCGATTTCTACTTCATTCTTGATCGCCTTACTAAGGGCCAGTGGTGATGGATTAGTAATGAGATGAGTCTGTAATGAACAAAATGAAACCCTGTTGACCATTACGTCTAAAATATATTTATTTAAATATACTTTTTTTATTGAATAGCGGCATTGTTCCCGGGCGATTGATTTAGTTTTGCCCTGCTACGTGAAACGATCGGCTAAAATATTTTGCGCAGGAGTGAAACTTATTTCAGTTAACCAAATTGCGATTTGCTCATCTCTTTCATTAAGCTATGTATTGTAGACAAAGAAATAACGTCACTCACAAAACACACGGTGTGGCCACAAAGTTGTACCGTATGATTTGGCCTTTACCCGTTTTTACACGCTGAGCAGACCGCTGACTGCATATATGTCTATATAATTTGATTTAAGCTGATTGGTCCATTGGCTAGCAATGTGTAGTACGTTTTCCAAGGAAGCTGACACTTTTATTTTGATTTTTGGATACTCAACTTTCAATCTTTTCCCTGCTCAGTGTACAGATTCATGATCAATCGGGCTCTTAGGCTCCGTCCACTCGTATACGGTTATTTTTGAAAACGGAGATTTTTTCTCCGTCTTCCAGAAAAAAGTACGTAGCGCATTCAAATCGTTTTTCCGCATCCACATTAAAACGCTGAAATGATGTATATACGATAACGTCCTTTACAGAGCATGTGCCACCTATGACACTGACAACCTGGCGTTTTCAAAAATCTCTACTGTGGGGGACGTTTTCAAAAGCATACATTTTTGGTGCCAGAAAACGCCGTTTACGCGTGGACGGAAGGCTAAAACGGAGTAAGAAATCTCCGTGCTCAAACAAAAACGGATACGAGTGGATATTTTTTTTGCGCGTGGATGTGCAGAACGATTCGAATACGCTACACGTGGACACACTTTCTCCGGATATGTGTGGAAGAGACCTAATTATTTCATACCTTACGAACGAGTCTGGCTAATGCTTCACTGGATGATGAACTAATCTGCAAAAAAAAAAAAAGGAAAAAAATCATATAATAGATAAAACAGGATAAACAGCACTAAGTACACTGAATTTATGCGACACATGTAAACACGTAAAATGGCTCTTATATAACTGGACATGTAAATCACGGAGTCGGAAGTATAAAAAACGATATTCTTCGTACAAGTAATGGTAACATATTAGGGAAAGACTGAACGTGAAGAACCTCGACAAAAAAAACTGCATTACAGCGAGCATATTTTACCAGTCGCTTGGTTCTTCGTTACATCGATGTTTCACTGTAAAGAGAGAGAATGTGCAAAAGCCTGGTTCAAAAGAGTTTAACCTTTATAAAAGTAGACAAACACGTAAAGTTAACAGAGAAGGAGTGTCGATAGATTTGACAGTACTGTTTTCCATATTGTTTTCCATGTTGCTGGCTTTCTACACGTATATAGATCGAGTTTACCCATGTACAAACAGTATTCCCTACCCAAATACGGGCTCCATTCTTAGCTGCTTCACTAACGGCATCCCATATCCCATCATATGGACAAACAGAAACTTTGCTTTCACTGTTGTCGTTAGTGCTTTCCAATCCAAGGTGGTTGGAAACAGCTTTGTCAATTTTTGACATATCTATAAACAACCTGCAAAAAGGGAAGTCTTCCTGTTAAAGATGGTTGTCATTAAAGTGGTGTGAAAAATGTGCAAAAGCACTGTGAGTTCGATTGCGCAGAATACGAAATATTGCTCATTACAGAATTAACACCATCTGAAAAAAAAATTAAATAAATAGAGGAAGCACAATTACTGATAACCGGCCATTAGAAACAAACAATTGAAATAACCTTAACAAGGTCAAGAATCCCAACTGGCCGGAGGCGAACCAGTTGGTAGCCTGTGCCAGGCTCTCGGTCAGTATAGACGAAGAGAAAAAGTGCGCGAACGAAAAACGGCACTCTCTCTCCCCAGCTCTCAAGCAATTTTTCACGCTTTTTCGTGATCCGTTGTCCCCTTGTCCCCACTAAACAGGCTAATCCGTCGGCTATTTACATGTACAAGCGTTACCGAGGAGTACTCAGATCAAATCAAGCTATGGTGTGTAGCGGTTTATAGAGCTATTTGAACTCAGGGTCTTCAGATGGCAAATCCAGCGCTCTAACCTCTCGCCCTCTGCCATGATAACGTCCAATTGGACTCAATGCAAGCAAAACCGCCAAACTATTTGTATGGTGTTGGCCGTTTTCAACACGGAAAATCTATCTCCAAAATCCGTAAAAATTGGCGGATAAACAGATTCATAAAGTCAGACGGATTATTCATCCAAAATAAAAGCCGTTCCATTTTCACATTAAGACGTATTACCTGTCTGAAGTGTGAAAACGGCCATTGCACGTTTATTACTAAGAAAGGGAAGTCATGACGAAACTTAAACGTCCCTTCTACTTTTTTCATGATCGTTGATTTTTACTTGCTTATGTATTATGAAACCTTTGCTTAAAAGGATTCGAAGTGTGTCCGGCAGAAGCGTAAATATCTTGAATTCACTCCATTAATTGCCACGATTTTAGGAAATACAACAACATTACCTTATTATAGGAAATTAACGCTTCATGAAATTAGCGCGAATTTCAAAAATTGAGTGGAGCGTTAATTTCGGCGACCTTAATTTCGATTATCTTGGCCCTAAATTCTCGATACACTTCTGACATTCTTGACACCTGAGAAAGAGGAGTATTTTGTCAGGCTGGAGATCCGCCAGTAACAGTGGAACTATGAAGAACCTCGAAGTGACCAGATTTCTCAGTTTGACTCCCTTCATACATATATATAGGGAAAGTGCCACAAACAAAGTTTGCTATTTCGGATTATACAAGAAGTTTGTTTCTTTGAAAACGTCGCGTTAATTTCATCTATTTTGAAATGTTACCCCCTTCGTTCACGCTAATTTCCTTTATTCGAAAGTCTTTTCCCACTAAATTTGTGTTAATTTGAGTCGCGTTAACATCCAATACCTTAATTTCATAGGGCGCATTTCCTATAATAAGGTAGTTAACTTACATTACTTCATCTTGTTTAATCATGGCATAAGCAAAGAAGACTGGATTAAAAACCACATCGGAGCCTCGCAAGTTAAACAGCCCTTGAAATAGAAAAGGTATTGATTAGAATTTAATAAAGAAACTATAAAAGATGACAAAAAGAGGTTAGGAGAACACAAAACATAGTACAATGTTTCTTATGCTTACAAGCAATCTCATCCAATGCTGTTATCACTAACGCATCAGCTTTCTTCTTTGTCATTTTTTCTCTTACTTCTTTGACTTTATCATGCCAGCTTTTACCTACAATTGCATCAGAGAGTAAAAATATGCAACGTGATATTAATGGAGTATGCAAAGATCTGGGTGTTATGTTAATTCAATACTGATAATACTCTGACAACTTTCATGGAAATTATAAATGCACGTTATTATTCTTTAGATGAGGATGCAGTGCAGTACAGTGATCAGGGCCCAGTTGTTCCGCAAGGCTGATTAGCGCTATCCCGAGTTTACATTTTAATCTGGTTTTCTTTTTCTTTTCAGTGTTCAAAAGTATTTTCTAGTCAAAAGAATAATTTTCTCTATCCTTTTTAGAGCATCCAATCATCAAATTGTAGGCAAAAAAGAATTAAACTTAATTTGCTTTTTAAGCTTTCACATCTGAACTCAAATTTCGCACTAACCCTGGGTTATCTTAATCCAGCTTTGAACTACCCAGGCCCTGGTGTGTACTGGATTTAGGGTCAAAGCCTCAGTCGATGCAATCATGAAGATTCCTTTAAGACAAGCCATTATGCTTCATGTAATGTCTCTCTTCATTCAGACATTTAGATGTGTGTACTGATGTCACCCTGGTCAGCCTCAACACTCTGACTATTTAATTTCCATGCATAGAACAGTATAGTAGAATTACCCCAGATCAGATATGTGCCATCTGTTTGTGGACATTTAGGTGGATTTAGGCAGGATCTTGGGTAGCCAGCAAGCAAACTCTCTTGGCACTTTCTGGGCTCAAATCAGAGAACAGGGGTTGGGAGGGAAAGGGAGAGAGAGTACCTTTGTCCCTTTTCTACCCCACCCTCACCCACTGAGCCAAGAGAAGAGCCAAGAGGAAAGGGCTCAGTTGTTTTAATGCCCTCTTGGAAGCCTGTCATATTAAACTTGTTCTCTTAGCCCAGCGGACCTGGCTAAGCTGCAATCACACCAAAGTATTATCACGTATTCAAATCAGGATGTCAGGTTAGAAATTTACTGACCTGTATATGACATGTCCATGACTATGAGACCCTCATTTGGGGGATCAGGTCTGCCGTGATCTTCCCAAACCTGATCAACAAGATTTGTCTCTGTCGACACCAAGGATAGACCTGCTGCTGACAAGGCCTGAAGAGAGGAATTTCCACAAATCTTATGTCACTCATAAAAATATTTAAAACATTTAAAAATACACAGTGGAGGGAGACAAAGGTCAGGGGCACCCAACGACAATTTTCGGAAGAATATCTGTTCGGTAGACAATTTTAGATCTAGAATTTTCGGAACATTTGTTGTAAAATTTCTTGCTTGCCTGCCTCTCCTATGATTTTCGAACATCAAAAAAATGGTATAATTGCCTATTTTTAACGGATTTTTACCCTAAAAAGGTCACCTAGAATTTTCGGGAGCCTTTTTTCTGGCTGAAATTTTCGAAAAGGTAAGTTTTGATCCCTATAGTTTTCGGATCACTAGGCTTTCAGCTAGGAAATCCGAACAGATGAAAAATTTTAGGGGACAAAAATATGCCTATATCCACCGTTTAAATACTAAAATAAGTTTAACAGTGATATGTTTAAGTGGTTTTGAACTATATTCTCGTTGGGTGCCCCTGAAAGGTACAGTAAAAATGTTGCAATTCTGAAGAGCATACCTTAATATTTAAAGCATTCTGACATAGGATAAAGTAACTTTATAACTTGAATGTTCTAATTTTTTATTCTTGATTCTTTATTGAGAGTAAATACCGATATGTCATTCTACCATGAAGGGATTGGTATAAATGCTTTCTTTAGGTGATCTGAATAGAAATGCTGTCTATTCACTAAATTTAGGTTATTATTACTATTTTTTAACCTTCCGGTTGATTCTAAATTTCCTTTATTTTCTAACCCTGGTTCATATACTCATGATAATGATTACTTAGTGGTTAGGAGGCAATGATATTAAAGGAAATTGAGGACCAACTTACTGAGGTTAAACAATTTTAACCTGAACTTAAATTTCACCTACAACATTTAACACTCACCCGAGACATTTTCTGCCACTTGTCTACAAGAATGCAAAAGAAAATAAAGATAAATCAGTGCAGTTAACATTAACAAATCTGTGTCAATCACTCTCAAACCTAAATCAAAATATTCTTAGTCGAGAATATCCTATAAACAGTAGCTCTCACCATGGGTTATAACACAAGGATCCACTCCAACCTTAGAACCACTTGATAACACCTAAAATGGAGACAAAACAAAAAATAAACAAACTGCACAGCAGTTACACAGGATTTTTTTATTTTCACTGATGATCGATGTATCTATATATCATGCTTCTTGACTGTCCTCAATTTGATGGATCATGGGAATGATATCACAAAAACATGCAAGCAAAATCTTCAGCATTTTTGTGGGAGACATGTTTTCTATTATAATGTATCAAAAGTGTAGTTTTATGGAAAAAGTTATAAATTATCAACTTAAAACATATTCATATGCACAATCACATGCACACAGAACATAACTTAGACTTGCTACAAGTTGACCTCACAAGTTTCTAAATGAGTGGAGCGAGCTTTTTATAATATTGTAGGCCACAAAGCAGCCAAGCAAGCAATGAAGTTGCGAGAGGTCTTCGTCCTGCACCATATAAAATCAGACGAAGGATTTTCTTTAAAGTCTACTCATAACTGGGGAAGGAAAATTCCAATGACTGGCTGGAAATGCAATTTATAAATAAATCTCGACCAATTAGGCCCCAGTACGGCAACCAAAAATTTCTACAATGTTTTCTTAAAATAAAAAATTTTGGCTAACTGATCCACAGTGAGAGTAAAATTTTTCAAACTGATTTTACAGCTACCAAACCAGTAACAGTAACTTAGTTCTGAATGATTTATATTCCATAAAACCAAGCTGTGAATAATACCAGGAAATAACAGAAAAATTTGTCCACGATATCTCGTACCTGAATGAGCCATTCCTCTTGAGTAGGTGTATCAGGAAGCCCTAATAACGCATCAGATACTTAAAGATCAATAATACTGATAGCTGATGATTCTACTATTACACGAAGTGGGTATACATGGTTTGCTAGAGTACCTAGTAATAACTACCTGCAGGGGCATAGCTTAACCTGTACCCCCAGCACACATGTGCGTACACCAGAAAAAATGTTGAACTGATAATAAACAATAATTAAAACAAAACAGAAAAGCAAAGCAAGGGAAAAAATACGGGATAGCTGGAAAAAGGAGCACTTACCTATTATAACTAAATCCCCTTTAACCTCTCTCATATAATTTTTTCAAACAAAATGTAGTAATTTTCCCAATTTGGTGTCAAAAGTTATACATGCCGCCTGAAGATGACAGTCTTTATTATGCTGATATACTGATAACAATAGAAAATTATGTAATCAAATCACTGCCCCCTCCCCCCCCCCCCCAAAAAAAAAAAAAAAAAAAAAAAAAAAAATGAAAATGACTTACAACAGGTCCTAGCTATGCCCCTAACTACTTAATAATTTTATTATATATGTGTTCATTGAAATGCACATACAGATCTCAAAAAGAATGAAAATTTTATCCCTAAAATGGGACCATGGCTTTACCTAGCTGACAGATGTCACGGGAAAAATTCATGGCAGAACCAAGAAGTTGCAATGGGTTAATTCTCTGTTAAAGTCTCCTTTGTTAAGAGAAGTGAGGAACTTATAAATGCATTAAATCTTAAATTGTGTATAATTAACATTTTCCAATATTATTCATTTTTACAAATCTGATTCCATGTGAAATAGAAGGAGATAAGAGGTTTTAAGCTTTCAAGAAAAAAACAGGGAAGGTCTTCTTAATAAACATTACCATGCTTCATAAGTGTCCAGTTAGAATCTAACTGTTTTTCAGCCTGGAGAAAGTAACGCCCATCAGTCCACAGGGCAGCCAAGGTATCTGTGACAATGGCAGTACCTGAAATTTAATTATAAGGAGCAGGGTAAACTTGGCAGCAGCTAGGAGACTAAAAAACTATCAACCCCTAGCAAGTCCTAACCATACCTGCTGAACCACTGAAGCCAGAGATGAATTCTCTTCTTAAGTCACATGATGCAAGATATTCATTCTGCCAAAATAAAATAATGTACAATTTTGTTAATTTATTATAATCAATTTATAATAAATTATACCATATTGAAACAAATCAGTCCTCTAAGTAAGAGTTTGTATAGCTTTTTCCCATCTCCAGCCAAAAAACAAGGGCCTTTAAAAAAACTAGTACTGCCCACTTAGAATCAAGGACAATGGTCACATCATGGAGCTGTGACATTCTTGGTTTGTAACCACGTGACAAGATGGCCATGTTGGTTGACAAAACAACAAAATTCTTTGAGCAGACATTGCATGAAAAAAGAGTTAAGTTCCCAGTGAAGGGAAAAGCTTAATTTGTTCTTGTAAATTAAAATGGCAACCAAGACCTCAGCTACAAACCAGCAATACAGCAATCCATTAGCTTCCTTACCACATTGAAGGGGAGTGGGGATGTCAAAGAAGCTAGTCACTGCTGTTTTGGGAATTAAATATTATAAATAAGGCACTCTTAAATTTCAATTTAGAATAGTTAACCTGGTGAGCATCTTCAGAAGGGATAATGTAAGCCTGAATTGCTTCACTCAGTAGATGTTTACTTCTCATTAGTGACCTGAGTTGCCGCAATAGATGTCCAGTTTGTTTGGCCATGATACCACACCGTACAAAAGACTAACCCTAAAACAGTCCACATAAAAATCAGAACCAGACAATTGTTAAATTAATGTTCAAAATTTAATGTGATTAAAGTATAGAATAATCAGTTTCTAGACATACATAACAAATTAATATGTATTGTAGTATTATTTGAGTATGCAGATAATTTCATTTAATGCAGGTGTTACTCACTTTGACTTAGATAAATAAAAAATGTTGGCATGTAGGGTCAATAAATTAAGGTTAAGGTCGTATAGCCCACTACTACTGCAGCCCAGAGCCCATAGAAATAGATCATTCACTAAACATTTCTATACTGTAATAAAATAATGAAAAATAAACGAGTGAGTTTTGGAAGGCCTATAATTCTTCGCTTGGACACAAAGAATTACCAATTCCCTCCCAAGGAGTCTTATACTTCCTTATAAAAATAACTGGAGTGTTTGTCAGGAAAAATAATTGCAAAAACATCCCAGCTGCTGACTTGTCTTAATTAAGTCATCTCTCAGTCTCCTATTATTTATTTATTATTTATTTTCTTATTTCTTTGTTTTTTAGTCACTCACATAACAAAACCATAAAACGTTACGAAAGGTGTTTAATAATTAAAGTATAAGTTAATGTGACAAGGAAGCCTAAAGAAGCTGGGAGCTTATATTAATAAGTTTCAGATTCCTTGAGCTAATTATTACTTACTTGAGTACAGAGTGAACAGAAAACATAAAACTTAGCCGGGAGAACAGCTATCAATGAGATAATTTTTTGAAAAAAAATATGGAAGAAGAGCTGGTTAGTGAAATTGGCAGCAAATTCCAAATAATGTATTTGTTGGTCCTTGATAAAGGATATGTACTGAACTGCTTAAAATTAGTTCTACAAAAATGAGGTCTATACTGGAAGGCAAGTCGAGTTTCAAAATGGTGAACCTGATTAGTACTTAAAAAGAGTTGTGAAAGCTACTAGGCAGAAGATTAATATTAACAAGAGAAGCCCAGTAAACATTTTCCTCCTTCCCATCACCCCATGTACTCCCTTTGAGTCACGCTTCTAACATTATTTTGGTTCTCTGTGTGGGATCCAAATAGATTTGTCTGGAGATAACTCAGCCCCAGCAGCTGCTACAGTGTACAGGTCTGCACAGCTAGTGTAACCTCAATATATAGAAGGGCCAAGGGTATGGCAAAATATGTTCCCTACATGTATAACAAAATCCCTATAACAAGGTTTTGTTATATCAAGATTATTTTCGTTAGTTTCTTACTATTTCTGGGGCTAAAAATATCGTAAATTACAGCAAGGACTCCATTAAATATGGAGGTTCGATGTTACACGTGTGCAGGTTCTACTAAACCAGTGGGTGATGGCAAAAATTCAGCCATCAAAATCAGCTGAGCAACAAAATAATTCCTATCATCTTTTGACTTAGTAGTCTAACACTAGAGCTCCTACCACCCTAACCCTTACAAAGATATGATCCGCCCAACTGATCAACCTTTATTCTGTTCAAATTTTATTTCAGATTACCCTTCAGGAATTCGCTCAAGGATTCAAGGACACAAACGCGTGCTCATATGGCTGTTCTTCGTTCGAACCGGAAATGATAGGATATAAAGCAAATGACTGATTCTTTATCAAAGAACAAAACAAGTTTTTGTCTGTCATTAATTCTTACCTACAAGGATTCCTTCTGTATTGTGTTATTTTGCTTTCTGGTCCAATGCAGGGAAAATACGTTAAACGCCTTAGACCTCCTACCTTTGACCCACAAGAAGACAAAAACAAACAGGCCGCTTCTTAGGGACCGACAGGGAATGGTGATGACTAGACCCCAGGAGTTCTCTTCTCGCGTCATTCGCGGTAAACAAAAATAACGCCTGTCAATTTTCGTGCATGACGAGCACATTTTATGCTCACAAGATTCACGGCGGAACACGACTCCCTCAAAAATTCACTTTTACCCATGAAATATGCCAAGTAATGTTCCGAGGAGAGTAACGATATTTACAAAAGGCCATAGAACAGGAGGGAAGGTATGATCTTCGTTGCAGCCACTGGCCACTTTAATTTCTTACCTTCAATAGTTGGCGCAACTAATTACGGACTTAAACCTGCTTAAACAAAGCGTATACTGTTCTCTCAGAAGAGTTGAGTTAGGGATATTGCAATTGCATGATTTTATCGCGATACAGCGATTTTAAAATACTCGCTCTTATTAAGATATCCCTGAACGCCTTGTGCAACAAAGCATACCAATGCAACAACATTTATTTTACTGAATTACATTCCTATTCAATGATGTGGAAATAAGTGGCCATACAATACATTAAAATAAGCCGATATCGGTCTATGTCAAGTGGTCACCCCATTTTATCAAGATCTGTCGCAACAGGATGCAAATTTAAAAAAGGATTGTTTTTGAAGGGGGGTGGGGATTGAACAATGCCTTTAATACACTCTTAACATTACTAGATCGATAGACTTCTGAAAGCTCCAAGAGATGAAAAAAGGTTCACGAAAATACCAGCGTAATATATACATGTAGGTACATATTATTAGTGAGTGAACCAAGAGACATAGAAGTTTATGGCTGACAATATAATTAATCTTTATAAAATAGGACACTGAAATGCCATAGGGCTCCAACTTTAATGCTTTGAAAGAAAAAAAAATTAACCTTTTTATTTAAAAGATACATTAGTTGTATTCTCAAGATGTCCTAATTAGTTTGCATCTTTTTTTTTTATTTAAGGTGATTGCTGTCCCAGACACCTTTGAAGAATTTCTTCTTAAAGCTAAAAACAAACTTGGACTCCATGGTAATGCATTAGTTGCAGTTTATAATAAAAGCGGAGGACTGCTTGAAGATGTTGAGTTGATCAGGTACAAACATATATCATCTTTTATCAAGTGCTGTATATAAATCCAAGTAAATAATGTCAGGTACAACATAGTTGTTTAAAATATCAGTCATATTTATCACATACAATGTATCATCTGTGTATAGGATTATGTTTTCTGTGATGAAATGATTATTAATTTTTTTACATGTACATGTACCATTTTAATTTTTCAGAGATGATGAAGTCCTTTATGTTTCTTCAGAGGATCCTACCACAGGTAAGGCTTCAAAGACTGATGCAGATGCTCCTTTCTTGATTAAAATGAACAAATATAAAAACTACAACTATGGTTAAAACATATAACTGCGACATAGCCTTCTGATATTTTCTTTAAATTTTTGTGGAAAAAGCCTGTTACTTGAGAAATTCAATGAAAATATGTTATTAGCATGCATGTATTAATAGCGTATACAGTGTTTGAGATCCAATTTCACTCCCCTCCCATGATTACACTGATGTGCATGTAAATATCCCAGGGTGTTCTATCTAGTACATGTACAATTGAGTGGTACTCTTGAGTATGATTGAGTATATGTGGTATTAATAGGGTCTGAATAAGTGTATGCCCCCAAACGTCCATTCCTCTAAGACTAAATACCCCAAAATTCCCTTTACACCACTAGCTGTAGTTACAATATTATTCAAGTCCCAAGAACAAGTGGTGAACCAAAGATTTGAAAGTCTAAATTTGTGAATAAAGTGAACTGTTTAGTAATTTACAGGTACTCTAGAAATGAATAAGTTTGAAATGCTCTTCTGATCACTGGCAATGTTCATATTTTGCCCAAAAAATCGAACAGTTTTAGCCGTACCCTTTAAAGACAACCTTTGTCATTTTAAGGAAGTACTGTATCCCTCTAGACCAATATGTCAGAAAAAAATTTAAGATGCTGGCAAAATACTCCCATAGACTGAGGTACAATGTAGTACATGTCAGTTAAAGCCTCGCAGGCTTTCCTGTTTTGATGTCTCAACCCTGAATTTACATGATGCAGTCAGTATAAAGCAGTCTTTCAAATACTACTCTTGCTCTGTGGTCTTGTTTGTCACCAGCTGAACTAACCAAGGAGCCAGTGACTTGCACAGTGATCTATTCTAAATCAAATGAGTCAATATTGTGAGCATTTTAAAATTTATTGGACATTTTTACTATTATTTTTCTGTTGCACCCCATCTTCATATCATTCCTCCAGTAAATGGCAATGTTCATGAGGCTGTCAATGGAGTTAAATGTAAGTTCTACAGTTATTTTGCAGTCCTACAGTGTATAATGCTATAAATATTTAAATGTATAAGAGAGAAGGGAGCTATTAAAACTCAATGTGTGGTTTATATGGGGATGGTTGATGTAGGGGTGGGGGGAGAGAGGGTGGGGAAGGGGAATACCGCAAAAGTGACAGTCTTCGGAGTTTAGATCTCTAGAGGTTGCCGTTTATAAAACCTTGATCCAATTTAATAGATTGGATCAACTTCTGTAACCCTATCTGTAAACATTTGTCTTTTTAAACAAGATTCAGGTTTATCTGGTCCAGACCAATCCAGGTTATTTTTGTAAAAAATTGTAAATTGTAATTTGTTTACCCACCAAGCTCTTAGGAGTTTTTATAAACTGGTTTCAACGTGTCCGTGCATTCCAGATCGAATTGGAATTTGGAAGTGTTGGTTTTTGCGGGGAGGGGAAAACTGGAGTATCCAGAGAAAAACCTCTCGGAGCAAGGGAGAGACCCAACAACAATCTCAACCCATATATGGTGTCGATGCCGGAATTTAAACATGGGCCAGATGGGTGGGAGGCAAGTGGTCTCACCACTGCGCCACCCTTGCTCCCCTTATGACTGTCAATCAACAAGAAAATAAGCATATTACGGTAGTTATTCAAAAGTGCCTTTTTTAGCATTCACAGACTGGGTGACACTCAATGTTGGAGGTCAAATATTTACAACCACAAGGTACTGACATGGTAGATGTTATATTATAGATATGACTAATGCAAATTTGTTTTATTTTGATACATGTTTTAAACAAGGTGATGCATCAATTTTTTTTTTATCTTAATAAAAATGTCAATATAGGACTGAAAAGTATTGCCTGTTACGCATGATTTTAGAATAACTGGTGTTGAAAGTAATTTATCATTCTACAGTTAACTTTTTAAAAACAATTAATAGGGAAAAAAGAAAGGCAGCTCTGAAAAATGAAGTGGGCAGGGATGAGAAACATTTGTTTCTTTTACTTGGCCTAACTGAAATTTGACTTTATGGATGAATAAATGATTCAACAAATAAGATAATGAGAAAGTTGACACAAGTCTGCAGCATACTGTTTCATTCTTTTGTGTGTTGTAGGGCAACATTAATGAATGAGCCAAACAGCATGTTGGCAAAAATGTTTTCCCCAGCAGGTCAGTGAATACATGTAACATCCACGTTATCATAAATTATCTGGCAATGTTTGTGCAGTGGTTGACCACTCTCTGACAAAATTACTCTTAGTCAGTATTACTCTTAGTAAGAGCTGGGGTTTGATTCCAAAGAACTTGGCCGGATTTAGTTCAGATTTATCATCAACATTACAGTGTTTCCTAGCAACAGCTTATCATTATGAGACATTAATGCCTAGGATTTGGTTTAACATTAAGGATATCACTTAAAGCTGGGGACTATGTGACAAGGGTATTGATGTTTTAGGTCAATTTTAGCTGTGCCAAAGTCCTAATGTAGTACCTATAACCATACACCAAATGCTGTAGAGTTTAACAAATTTCATAAGGAAGCCCTATCCGTGATATTTTTTGGCAATTGTTGTAGGCATGGCATTAATAGTTTCAATCCATTTCGATCCTTTCCATGCATTCATAGCAACAGACAACAGGAAGAAATTTAAATGCCTAAATATAGCCACAAGTAAAGTGGACCACTATTTTTGGAATTTACTTTCATGGAAAGACACTTTTTGGATAAAGAAAACAAATAGTCTGATATAGCCCCATTAAACTGTCAGAAATCTGGCACCTGATCAGGTGTGGATCTAGGATAAATGCTGACCGAGTTCCTGAGGTGCAAGCTTCTTTAGATTTTATCTTCCTGAGGTGCCCTTTTCTTGGGTTTCTGAGTCATTAAGACAGGATATTGGCCAGTTCCATTCACATTGGATGAAGCCTTGCAACTTGGAAAGTTATTTACTCATCAAAAATATCTCTGTTATTAAAAATCTAATCAATTTCTGTAAAACGATGGGAACCGGTGTGGATCCACACCTGCCTGATAGTTATAATGATACCTTTAACTGCGTACCTCAAAAGTTCTGAAAAAAACCTCTGGAGTTGTCATTTTCATTATCCACTCAGAATCTTGGAGCAGTATCACTGATTCTACAGGAGCTTTTCTATTTGATAGAAGCCCAGTGTACTTTGAACCAATTTTGAATTATCTCAGACATGGACAGCTGATACTGGATAATGGAGCCAATCCCCAAGGTAACCACATGCACATAATATAACATAATTAAGGACTCAGAAAATATTCATATTAAAATTCTTAACTGTTTAGGAATTGTTATATCGATGTACTGCAACTTTATGAATTTTCTCTTAGCGATTTTCTGGGCGAGATTTTCTCTAGGCTGACACGATCTTAAGGGTTATACAGTCTGTAGTTGCTGTAAGTTTTCAGTAAAAAATGTCTATAATTGTCCCCTCACCAAAGAAACCGTTTAATACATTTCTGGTTGCCCTTGGCGTGGCAAATTTATTTACTCTTCCTGTTAAGGTACTCGCCTTTCCACAAAAGGCTTGGTTCTTCCTCGCTATACTACTCTAGTATTGCTCTATTCATTCTAAATGCGCATTCGAGATAGTCATATGCAATAATTATGTTTCTGATGTTTACCGGGCAATAGCCCATATTCGATATATTAAAATTCTAACATGATTGGTACGGTACGTACCGTAACTTTATTTATACCGGGTATTTTTTTCGGGTACATTTACATTTAAGGATAGAAAACTAACTACCTAACTAAACTAGAATCTAAGATAAAAATTAAGGAGGCTTTAGGGTCAAAATTGCAAAATTTTCATGACTCCATTGTCTCGTAATTTCCAGAAGAGACTGGAGCACAAAGAAAACCGAACTAGATATAGAAATATTACCAGAAAGTCTCGGAGTCTTGTTGGAATTTTTTAACAATATCAAAGGTGGGCTATTAAACTGCAAATACGGTGTAGTTGATGTTTATGAACTAAGAGAAGCTTGTAATAATGGTAGGTGTCTTAGAAGAGGCCAAGTTCTTTGGAATTTCAGGCATATTGGAACAGCTGGAAGAAATGGCGAAGGTATGAATATGTTTCCTGGTGAACTTTATGGCCCGCTACATATTCCGGTAGAATCGGTGTGGTGCTTAAACGTCTGGACGCAACCTAAATAAACTTTGTCTTATTGTCTGCTTCATTGCCTTTTTCTTTTTCGTTAAGCCTGAGGGCATGCAATCTATCGTTATGATTCTGTAAATTAATGGTGAAAATGAACTGGTCTTACGAGCTCGAAGTCGAAGAACGTATTATTGTTATTGGCTTAACTCTTCACCCAAATAATATATTATCAGGTAGACATGTGAGACGGCCAACAGAGCTAAAAAAGCACAGAGGTTTTCTTGTATTAAAAAGGAACAAGAAAATAGTTTTACAGTATTGGAGTTCATATTAAGTGAAAACTATCCGCAATGGTGTCAGGGCCTATGAAAGTTATTTAATCTGTTGCTTTTTAGGCCATGGATAAGTCAGATGATGCGCCGCTATCAAGAAGTGAGTTTGTGAAAATTTTGTTGTCAACGCCATCGAACTGTGAGCTTCGTTGCCAGGTATTAAAAGTATTCCAAACCTTTCGGGACTCAAAGTGCATGTTCAATGTCACTTCGCTGCGTTGTACGCAAAATATAACACGGTATTTCAGTATTTATATTTATTTATATTTATTTGTATTTGTATTTATTCCAATAGAGCGGTTTTCACTTGACTGTCGAAAGGGATTGGTTTTGGTTTTGGTTTTGGTTTTGGTTTTACTACGCCCTTTGGTTGGCTAGTGTATTTACTTTGGTTTTGGTTTTACGACAGTCAAGTGAAAACCGCTCTAAATGTTAATTTGCTTATGGGCCTTTTACCGCGCGTTGCGCCGGCTGCAAGTATTTTGTTCGTGTTCTGATTGGTTCGTTGCTTCAGGGCGGAAAAACGTAATGAGCATGCGTGAACGTTTTTGCCCAGATCCCCTGGCCGGGTTTGAAAACATGGCGGGATTTCAAATATTTTATTGCCTAAAAATAAGATGTTTCCACTCATAACCTGGAAAGAACAGGCAATTTGTCTTCAAAAGTTGCAAGCTGTGGTTATAACCTTGTCGTTACTTAATTTTCTCGAAGAATACCTCATAGTAAAACGGACTTTAACGACATCAATTTCCTTGCGTTGTACTGAAAATGTGCATGCGTAGGTCCGATTTTTTTCAAGATGCATTCACAAAATGTGTTCATATAAGGAAGTTCCTGGATATATAAGGTCCGGAGCTCCATTGTGGACACAAAAACAACATATCTTTGGACAGTGATTTGCCCAAAAAAATTAACGCTTGCCCACAATGTCTTTGAAGGCACTGAACTTGTCGCACTCGAGCTGATATTTTAAAACCCTCGCTCGATCGGACACTCGTAGTTTCGCAAATTACTAAAACATAAACAAAATCCTCAATGCAGAAGTTATTGCGTTGATATGCGGGCAGAAAAAAGGTCAATCTTTATCTAGTAAAATCTTCCCAAAAATCGGTTTTAAAGCAACTATAGTTTATTTTTAAACTTGATCGTTTCGCGTACTAAGAGAGAAATATAAATTGTGCTTTGTGTTGTCAAGTTGAAAATGCATAACATCTGTCAAAAACCTACACGTAAATAGGATTTCCTTCAAACAAAGTTAAAATTACATTATTGCAAAAACTTCTTGCTGACAATGAAGAAATGAATTTTTTGTACGAAAACAACCTACCTAAAGATCTTAAAAGCAAAATATCAGTTGCAGTGAGCTTCGCAGCTAAACCATGATTCACCATGTAGCTCTTCTCCTCGCTTTAATAACTCAGTGAATAACTGGTCCGTGTGAGGGTCTTCATTCAAGCAAATTAAACTCAGCCAATCGTTACAAAATTCAGAAAACTGCACATAAGGGTATTTGTTTTGCTCGCTTAAGACAAATCCAGCTCTAGCAATTCAGTGTTACGGGCAGAGTCAATTGTTTTGAAGTCACTGCCGGCAGTTGTCCTCTACTTCACAGCGAGTGAAATGGAAAATTTGCGTACAGAAAGTTATTTCTTATAAAGAACAGAAACTTTCACAGTGCAGCGGAAAACAAAACTATGTAATTAAAAGTGAAGAAAACTCTGACTACTTGCAGTATTTGAGCAACAGAAAAATGATTCTTTTCTTCTAGAGTAAGTTTACTGGCCTTCTACCGGTATTTCCGAGAAAGTTTTACGGCGCACAAAATGGTTCTTTGACTGAAGAGAAGGATAAAGCTGGTTCTACAAAGGGAATAAATCTGGGCATGTGAAAAAGTATTTACTAATTTTAAAAAAAGTGGGTTTTAATTCAGCCCGGCGAAAGAAGGCGAAATCAACTCACAAATAAATCGAATGAACAATCAAAAAAATACTCGCCTCTTTGGAAATGTTCAAAACTCTTTATTCCACCTCAGACTGACGGAATGATCCGTTTTTCCTTTAACATTGGTTGTTCCGAGTCCAAAGTAATTTTCAAGTGACGAAAAACAAAAACCACACAAAAGTAAAAAGGCTTTTCGAGGAGCAAACGTTCACAACTTGTGCATTTCATTCAGTCTTAGTCAGAACTCTCTCAGTGACAAACAAACAAACTGTCGAACACAGTCAACAGACAGAGAAGCCAACCTTGAGCCTGCGATAAAGGATGCGCAGAAGCTTGCGCAGAACGTTTTTCCGCCCTGAAGTTCGTTGCATTGTCTGGGTCTGTTATGATTTTTTTTCGTCTCAGCCTCGTACCCAGGCCAGTTCGCGCTATCCGAGTTACCAGAGGCGGCTTGGAACCTAGCGCGAATCCTCGGCGAATTTTCTCGACAAGTTTGACAGGTGGCTTCACATCCGAAATCACCGAGGACGACTGGGAACGAAGCTGCCTTTTTCTTAATTTTCCTTCCAGTTAGCTTCAACTCACTAACTTAGCTTTTTAGCATTAAAATTTCACGGAAAGTTTACATAATACTGTACATTTATTGATTTGTAGTGTGAATTTGTTATTCTCTACAGGGGATAAATCTTGACTCCGCTGATCTTTCCAAGCTCGATCTACGTTTTATTAACTTCAAAATGGCGAACTTGAAAAAGACGGACCTTGCAAACGCTAACCTGTCAAACTGTTGCTTGGAACGAGCGAATCTTTCCGGAGCTCACATGGATGTAAGTTTATTCCTACAAAGTGAATACACTCGTACACAGAAACGTTAAAAGAAGAACGCTTTCCATTTTTTTACAGTGGCCAGCTGTAGTTAGACTGCGAGCACACATTTTTCAGTCTGACGAGTCGAGACATTAGGGGGCTTAAGTAACCAAGACGGCGACGGCAACGAGAACGGGAAAAAAGCTATAGGTTTATACATTGCAAAAGAACAACTTTTCCCGTGGATCACGCTTTTTTGTACATTTCTTTGCTGTCACTGCACGACTACGACGTGATAATGCCTCAATTCACTTTTGTTGGAGGACATGAACGTAAGACCACGACTGTCATTTTCTTTTCCTGAATTTGACACAGCCTCTTAGAATTCAACTCCAGAAAAATTTGCCAACATTGACGAAATGAACGAGATGCAGTAAGCGCGATAAATTTGGAATTTGGAAGTGGAAAACTAGGAAAGGCGGGAGGCAAGGTGTCCATCTGTCGATCCTTCTCTTCCCGCCAACACCCCCGTTTACCTCATTCTTTGGTTTGTAGCATGCTCCCCGCACTACAATCCTAAAAAAAACTGAGCTACCACTCTAGAGCCCTTGTCGGTCATTTTGTGAATACTATTCTATTACTTGTTAAAAAGATATAATTATGAAGAGCGACCATCCGGCTTGTGTCCAAGTAAAGTAAAGTAGGTAAAATACATTATACGTGTTGAACAGGTTTTTGGACTGGCTAACGCTGATTTCCCATGCCTGCGATCACATAACAATGATCTCTTTCTTGATCATCCTTATGTTATTTGCACAGTTTAAATTTCTAAATTCCAAAATCAATAGCCCTACTTTGTCATCTTTTTATTTGCACTCCAGGGTGCTATTTTAAGCTGTACTCGTCTCCAGAGGGCCCATATGGAAGGGGCCTCTCTTAGAGGGTGTAACTTTGAAGACCCTGCTGGTACCAGAGCTCATCTTGAAGGTAAGAGAGTGCTCTATTTTCTAAGCTAACTCCCCGGTCCCCCATATAATTTGAACTTGAGCGCATTGTCTCCTTTTCTTGTGAAATGCACCACCGCTTATTTTTACGTGTAAACTTAGTGTTCACATTAGCTGTAACTATGTTTTATATCCAGCTACCATTCATTATGACGTGTTTTTTTTTTTAGGTGTAAACTTAAAAGGTTCAGATTTGGAAGGAAGTCAGTTAGGAAATGTCAATCTTCGTGTCGCCACTCTCAAGGGCGCTAATCTACAAAACTGCAACTTACGAGGAGCGGAGTTAGCAGGCGCTGATTTAGAAGTAAGATTTACTGTTGCATTCTCTATACTGTGTAAAGATTGGGACACCTCAGCCTAGTCCCTACGCGTTCTCGGCTTGGTCAATCCTGGACTCTACCGTGAGCTGTGACATCACCGACAGAGACTAGCCGAGAAAAGCCGAGAACGTCTCTCGCCCGCTCTTTCCCAAGCTTGGCGCGGACAACGGGTCCAGAGAGAACGCCTAGAGAGTCGACTGGGGACACCTTGCTTTTGTGACAGAACACCGAAACTTTAGAAGGAGCTGTTCCAAATTGTTCCTTGCAAACTTTGCGTTAAAGTATAAAAATGTGTATTATTTTTTTCTTGGCCGTCTTTTTGGGTTTTTTCCTGAGATCGCACCTTACCTCTGGTCTGGTTAAGTGCGGAGTATTATTTGATTAGACATGATAATGTGAGAGACAGAGATCGAACCACGTAACCTATTGCAAACAACGCAATTCTAACAAAGTTGCTTCTTTGTAGCTGTAGACCTCATTCCAAAATGGGATTAATTCATTGTTTTTATATCTATTTGTAAGTTATTTCCTTTTATGCCGTGTATAAAATCCTGGAGTTTGGAAATTCAAATCAAAGCTACGTAGAACTACCGTCTACTGTTTTTGAAGATATTTACAAGTGTCTTGCAAATACTTAAAGAAAAGAACATACGCCCCATTCAAACCAATGCAGCTGTTTAGTCAAGAAGTTTTCGAAAGCTGCTTACTGATTATTCTCGTCTACAAATTTAGTGCAAGCTAAAACTTACTTCAGTGAACCGTATATTATAGTAGTCAAATTTCGGCTTTCAGTTTCTGATTTCATTTTGGTAAACCTGGGCTAATTCAACATATTTTATTGGCGCAAACGTAGCAGTAGTCTATATACTAAAAGGATGTCGCACTTTGAAAAGCAAAGTAAAATGTATCTGTTGTTTTTTGTTCGTTGTTTTTGCCTAGAACTGTAACTTAACTGGGTGTGATCTCCAAGATGCAAACCTCAGAGGCGCCAACATTACTGGCGCTACAATCGCAGACATCACTGGTCCACTTCATATGACGGCATTTGTCCGAAATCAGCTTCCAGGCTCTCGCTTGATCTCCTCGCCTCCAGACACTTAAAGGACTTGGCTAACGCGTTGAGACAGGAAAATGAATCAATTCTGGGTTAAGAGATGCTGCTGCTCTATGATTCTTCTTATCGCGCCTTCAACACAGACAAGTGTCAGAGGGCATGCAACACAGTGCAAGGCTAACGGAAATCAGTAATTTTCTACTTCGAAATCTTGAAGCGGGGAATAGTCTTCGCAAATAAAGCGTATAATTTGAGAATCAGGCACAAGAGGAATAGCAGAACACAGAGGGTCAAGTCACAAGTTAAAAGGAATTAGCGTGTGTTATAGACAGTTACTCACTCGCCCTGACTCATGGAAATAAAGAAACTAGTGATGTGCTTCTAAAGTATAATAACGAAGGAAATAATAAATTTATCAAGTTCATGACGTGTTGATGTCAGCTTGAACGGGGACGCTTAGTCCCAGCACCTAGGGAAGGCAAAGAAAAATTATTATCCACCCCCAACCCCCTTCGCACAATATAAATTATTTTCAAGGCCGGCCCTCTCTTTTACTCTTTTATCTTAGAGACTGGATGAGCGCCCCCCCTCCACACTTAACTTAAAGATCTGAATCCGCCACTCTTTTTATCGATTAAATTCTGATAACTACTCACTGCATCTTTCTGCAGTTAGATCAAATTGACGATTGTACCAAAATACAGTGGAACCTCTATTTAAACAACACCCTCGGAATGGATTTGGTTACCAAGAAACGACGCCTAGATAGCCAAAACAGTAGGTGTATAATGTTCCCGCGAAAACGAACAGCAGGTGATGTTGAGGCATGACGGAAGATGAGTTTAACAGACTATCGCTCATTGCTTTCCTCAAACTTAGAGCATAACTGTACGAGGGATATGTTTCAGTTTAGTTTATTACGGCTTCACTTTAGAACACTTCAAACTGCCTAACCAAGCAATCTGAAACATGAAGGTAAATCTGTGATATCGCATGCTAAGAGTGACAGCATTATTCCTTATTCCAGGGATGTACTGGCAACCCGATGGTCAACGCGACAAAAAAACATGTCCAGATTAAAACCAATCTTAATTTGGATTAGGAAGATGGACACTGTTCCAATGCAAAGCAGAAACTGCCATGATAGCCCGTTTACAAGACAATCATGTCCAAACATTCTAAACGTTACAAGGTCTTACAATAAAATCATAGCCGTATTTCTCTGTAGAATTACGATTCATAAATATAGCAAAATAGCTCAAATTGAATTATAATAAATATAGCAAGACAGCTCAATAATTCCTGATCCCCAAATGAAACCGTAACCGTCTCAAGTACGATGAATTTATTAACAGCATATATATGTTCCCAACGCCAAATAAACCAACGTAAATGGATAAGCTTGATATCATTTTCAAACGCTTAAAATATTTTAAAATGTTAACTTTATTCAAAATATCGTCCAACACTATATCCCCTGAATATAGGTGTCCCTTCAATGGAGGTAACAGATATAAACATTATGCGAACATTTTTCCGGGAACAAATTTTGTGTCCCCTAAATGAAGGTGTCCCAAAGGAGAGTTTCCATGTAGCTTCACAGAGGAATAAGCGGGCTAGCCTAAGAGAGCTACCTCCAGTACTGAACTGTAATCTTGGCACGGTGATCAAACAATTTTTTCTCTTCTCAAATGAACTCAACTTCTTTACTCTACGTAAGAACTAGCTTACAATTAACTTTAACTAAACAACAAGGTAGGTATGTGCCGGCCCAAATAGCCTGCGTTGGAGCCGGCCCACGCACTCGTCTAAACCAGAAGATTTAGAGTGTCTGCAACGCAGGCAACCCCAAAGGGTATTGTTTTTTGAGCTGTTTCGGTCTGAAAACGGGTATAGACTTCGCCAGTTTTGGTCTGGAATCGGGTATGGTTTTCGAGGAAACTACGATAGTGCATCATTGTATTCGTCGTTTCAATTCCAAATAAGTAAGAAAGAAAGAGTAATATCCGAATTCGAAATGGATTTTAAGAAATCTTTTCGTTGGCGTTCTAATCTCGGTAATGTTGACATAATTTCTGTCTACCTAAAAATATATGTTACGTTTTGTGGCAAACCCCACGTCTGAAAACTGGTCTTGATTTTAGATGCCAGGTCTGAAAACGGGTGTGGAAAATGACATTGTTTGGTCTGAAATAGGGCCAGGATTTGGAGAACCGGGCGGCACACCCCCACCAAGAATTCTCAGGAGTACCCCCCGGGTTCTATCAGAAGGTAAAGGTAAAAGAGATGCACAAACCAAGATCAAAAATTTGAAAAGCGAAGCCATATTTGAGACTATAACAACTGAAGGTATTGCGTTTATCTTGTAGTTTTAGTTGTCGCTTTGGCGCTTATCTATTAGGATTTCACGGTTCTCGAAAGTTAAGTTTTCTTGGTGCCAGAAAAATGGTAGGGGTGAGTAAATCGATGCCTTAATTAATAAGGTTATTTGGTTAAGATCTGTTTAGATTGTTTCGGGTGGCAAGGTTAATTATGCATTGAATTCCACTCTTGTTTTGAACTTATGTTTAAAGGAAGTAACACATTTCTAAGGTTTCATTGTCGTTGATGTCAACATGAAAACGAAGGTTTTATCGCTTCTGTCCGGTACGATTGCAGCTATAGTTAGCCTACACGTATGCAGAGGTAACGATTGGATTACGCTTTTCATTTATGATAATAATAATACTATTTATACAAGATAATCCCGTCAGGGAATAGACACTAGGAACGTTAACCTTACGAAACTACAAGACTGCGATGGCAACGGGAACGTTAAAAAAGCAATAGGTTTAGTTTGCAAAACAACAACTCTACACGTGTATTACGCTTTTTTGTACATTTCTTTGCAGTCTCTGCGTAACTACGACGTGAAATGACCAAATTTTAAGTTTACTTGGGAACGGGAATGGCAAGGCGATAAATTCTGCCATCTTTGTCAGAACTCGGGCGCGGTCTCTTCTTTTCAGTTCCAACCCAAATTCCCTTCTTTTAAGTTACTGGGCCCCTCGGAATAATCGCGAAAAAAGTGTCTATTTTTCAGCGATGTTTTCATAGACGTCGCCGTTGTCGGATCGTAAGGTCCCTACTGTTATCAAAGGGGGTCCTGTTATTAAAATGCATAAAGGGAATACAAAAAATCTAAAAGGTTAAAAACTAAGAAAACTGTGCAAGACCGATATATAAAAAATATATATCCATCAAACAGATAAAGCTTATTAACTAACTTATTAAGAACAAGATCTTTAGTTTCCCTTGAGAAATCAGAAAGGATTTCTTTGATTTGATAAAAGTAGGAAGGCTGTTGAATTCTGTCGGACCTCAGTGTAAAATAAAACGATCTCTTTGCTACCTCTAGGTTCTTTCGGGATATGAATGTGATTACGGCGTCTTGTTTCTGCTTTTTTCCTCAGTCTAGCTAAATTCTATCTGCTGGAAAATGTATTTCCTAATCATTTTTCTTTCTTTGCGTTCCGATGTCAAACCATTAGTCGCTTTTACAGTTTTTAGGCATTTTAATACTAACGGTAAAAAATTTACAGTATCAATAAATTTTTCCGTAAAGAACAAAATCGGCTCCAAAAAGGTCAGTAATATTTTGTATAGTATATCAAGTAGTTTCGGCCACTTTCCGACAATTCCCGATTATTTCAAGAGATCTGCAAAGACTATCGAAGATTTCCGAAGATCAAAACTGCCTAAGATGGAAGAAGACTACAGAAGATTTCCGAGGAGGAATCTGATTATTTTCATCTTTATTTTCGTCATCATATATTCACATGTGAAAGATGCATTCTTTTACAGTGTACAGATACGACTTTTTCAGTGAGAGAAAGCTATGTAATTCATTCTAATTAATGTTGTAATAACAAAATATTTTAAATCATTAATTTAAATAGGATACAATGCTAAACAAAAATGACATTGTATTCCCATTTGCCAAGGCATCATAAGCCTGTGTGACGACGTAGTATTTTACTCTAATTTCATTATGATTAAAATTGACGATCTTGGTTTGTTTACCATCTCTCTCACTTTTGCTTTTCGCGAGAAACACTTCCACTTGTTTTGACTATTACTTTTGATCGCCTTCTTGATTAACGGCTAGTAACTCTATTAGGTAAGCGCCAAAACGACTAACAACACTATTAGATAAGTGCAAATCCTGCGATGATTTCAAGGTTGGCTTAACTCAGTTTCACAGCTCCCAAATCTGCTTCTATCCGTAGCTAATTAACTAATCTACCTGCTAACCAATTAAACGAACTAACTGCTAACTCTTCCTAAATTATTACTAAGGCTATGACTTGATCATTCCTCATATTTCCTATTGGTTCTATTGTATCAAACTCACACATTGAGTCTCGCTACGGATGTTGATTTAATGAAAAAACAAGTAAATTCGATAATTTCCAGTAACGAGTCCATAAATGGAGTAACGCATTCTGAAATAAACGATTAGCTCTGTTGTGTCGTCACATAAGGCAATACGAGGATTACTGAAATGTGCATGACAGACTGCTTACAGACCCTGTGTGTTTTGGGACACCTTCTTCCAAATCAGACAGATGTATTTGTTATTTTATTGAGGCCCAGTTATTACCGGTTTTTTCCATTGTAAAAATAATGAAATAGCCGTTACCCTATAGAAATAAAAATATCTTTTATGTCAGGTTTGTTCTTTAAGCTTAGTTGGTTTGGTTCTAGGTACGCTTCCTTCAGGCACTATAGAACAAGCTGAGAAAACCTTTAAAAACACCCGGACTCAGGGATTTTACTACAGGACTATTCCATCCGATGAATGCAAGTATCTGTTTTTTCTTCCAATTTTTTTTTCTTACTAGAGTATTTTCCCAAAAAATTGTCTCTCGCTAGGCGGTGTACTTACAAGTAATAGGCTAATGGGGATGTGCTGCTGGATGGGGTCGCGTTCTCACGACTGGAATGGGGTCGCAAATTTTCGGAATTTTAGGGGTAAGAAACACTCTGGTAAGCAGGGATTTAAAAAGTGGAAGATTCGTGGTCAAAAAAGGGACTAATGAGTTGGGATCACAAAAATTACATTTGCTTAACAGTGACTAAGAGGGGTCTGTATTTGGCCACAGAATAGACTATAATGAGGTAGGAGTTGACCCAGGTACCCCCTCCTCCCTCCCCCTTCCCCCCTCCCCAGGTACCCTGCACAATACAAGCTTAATGTAGAAGACGATAACTAGCCTTGTTTCTGTCTCTTAACAGCCCTCACCTTATCCGCGAAGCATGTCTTCATGGACGATTTCCTGACGCCTAGGCATTTAAGAAAGCCGAAGAAATATTTCAACGAATGGCACACTCTTGTTACCAACAATGATCTGCCGAAAAGTAAGGAACACAACAGGAATGCAATTTTGAGATCGCTGAAACAACCTCGTGACCGTACGGTATGAAATAGATCAACCTTTTAATATTTTCCTCCCGTTGTTATAGGCTGACAAAAATGTGGGTGTTTTCTTCCACCCGAGTCAGGTAAACAAATAGTCTACTATTGCCCTCACGAGTATGCTAAAACGCTTTGAAAGGCTGTAAATGCTCATTTTAGGCGCCCCCTTCAGGGGCACCCAACGAGGATATAGTTCAAAACCACTTAACATAGCATTTTGAACGTATTTTAGTATTTAAACGGTAGATGTAGGCATATTTTTATCCCCTAAAAACTTTTCATCTGTTCGGATTTCCTAGCTGAAAGTCTAGTGATCCGAAAATTATAGGGATCAAAACTTACCTTTTCGAAAATTTCAGCCAGGAAAAGGCTCCCGAAAATTCTAGCTGGCCTTTTTTAGGGTAAATATAAGTTTAAAATGGGTAATTATACCATTTTGTAGATGTTGGAAAGTCCTAGGAGAGGCAGGCAAGCAAGAAATTTTACAACAAATGTTCCGAAAATTCTAGTTCTCAAATCGTCTTCCGAACAGATATTTTCCCGAAAATTGCCGTTGGGTGCCCCTGCCCCTTTACTGATAAGTGCCTCCTTCATGCTAACAAATGGGGACCCTACGAAATTAAGGGTGCGTTTATGGGAAAATCCAAATCCGGGTGTTCAAATCTAACAAAGATTTTGCGTTTTTTGGGCAGATTCAAAAACGGATGATGAATCCATAAAATCCACACTTTGGATGGATTCTTCGGATCACAAAGTCAAAATCCGGATTTTTGAGATTACCGATTTAAGGGGTCTATTTTTGTGGGGGCAATGGGTGGGGAAGGATTTGAAAAAAGTATTTATGACAAGCGTTTTTCCGAATATATATGACAAGCGTTTTACTGTACATGTATGACATTTATTTATCAATAAATGATTACCCCCCAGCCCTACCGTGGGGCATTTGCATCTTTTCCAGAAAAAAAAAGAAAAGAAAGGGAAATACCCGGGAGATGGGTACTTTGGAATTGACTGAGCCATTATGTACAAATTTTCTTTTGTTGAAATAAATTTGCCCGGCTACTGGCCACGTGAGTGAAAATGCTCTTATATAGACCGGTTAGCATTAGATAACTTTGGGTAAAGCCAAATTGGACACCTTATGAGGTTTACACAAGCCATTATTCTGTTAACGTAACAAGACTCGAACAGAGCCCCGCTTACCTTGTAAAATTGCTGAAAAAAACAAACAAAACAAAACTGCACAGCACCAGTTATGGAGAGAGCGTACTAGCTGAGTTAGGCACTGATCTGCGACGGTTAGCTTTCATACGGTATTATAGAAGCATATAACACGGGAGTTCTATGCTTCTGGGCATATCGATACGTACATATCTAGCAGTATTTTTAATAACGTTATCGCCAAATAGACCTTTTGCGTCCAACAGTTTTTTTCGACCTAAAACTATCTTCAAAGTAGCATATTAAAAAAATTAAGAGTGCATGACCGCGGGGTTTTTTTTCTCCTCCTTTCCTTTTCCTTTGTTACTATGATTTTGGAGCTTCTCGGGCTTAAGAAACGTGCCTTTTGACGCTGTTCACACAAATGACTGCAAATTTCTTTGGGTTGGTTTTCAAAAAATCAGGTCGATGTTTCCAAAGAATACTGCCAATCTGTCAAAGTGTGCCATTTGCATGTTGCAGACGGTGTTTCAGGTCATTTGGCATCAATGCTGCTCATTCGCTGGATCATTGTTTCCAAAGAATTCTGGCAATCTGTCAAATTGTGCCATTTGCATATGGCAGACGGGGTTTCAGGTGATTTGGCATCAATGCTGTTCCTTTCGCTGGATTATCGACCTTTTGCGTCCAATAGTTTTTTTCGGCCAAAACTGTCTTTAGAGTAGCCGTTATAAAAACTATGAGGGCAACCATCTGCTGTTAGGGAAAGTCCCTGCTATAATTACTAACTTCCTGTTATACGCTACTGATTGTGTATATTTAAAACTCAATCAGCGGCCCGTAAAAAGGCCCCAGGCTGATAGTAGTATAGTAGTTGGCGAAAATGGACGAAGACGAAGACGGAGTCCATTTGTGTATCAGCGTTAGCGGTGCGAATCGCTGGTACCCTTAACTACTATACTACTGGTGTTATCGCCCGGCGAGTAAAAATAGAATGAACGGTTTTTTCAACTGACAGGAGGATCGTTGCCAGCGCGTTGTCCTTTCGAGCAAGAAACTTCGGAAAGTTTTCTTTTACATCAGAAGCACGTTCAGTATAACTAACTTCCGCAAACCAAAAACCTTGAACCTTCCCCGTCAGATCATCCGACCAAAATGAAGAACAGCTATGGTTTCTCGATTTGGAAGCGGCCTCATCTTGAAAATATCTCCAGGCCAGGCAGCACAGCAAAATGCAGATATGGCGGCAGGCATTCAGGCACGCAGTTGATTCCCGGTCTCTATTGCAGCTCGGGGACTACCTTGGTGGCAATAATCTGGGCCTTTAACCTGTTCCGGTTCGACTTAGTGAAAGTGCGAGAGCTTCCCAACTCTCTAAATACAAATTGAACTTTATTTACGAGCAAAACGCAAGAGAACTTTGTGACAGTTCGATTACCAACGAAAGAGAGAAAACTGGCCAAATTCGACCTCTTATATAATACGAAGACCTTTTCAAGAGAAACCGGTTTGTCCGGTTTAAAGCGTGCCATAAAAAGTTCTCGAAATATTTTTAGTATGCTAATTAGCTCCCTGAAATAAACAGTCATAAGAAAATACAACTTGAACGAAAAACATGTCTAAGTTCCATCAAGACTGCTTCTCCCTATACGGTATTTTCTAAAGTAGTACCGACCAGGGGCTAGATTTGCTGCGGAGGATGGTTAGTGCTCGAAACGTCAACTATTAAAAATATTTTCGTGGTAGTTGTTTGAGTTTATAACCTTTATCAACTCGGTAACTTGTCTAACTTATTATGTTATCTGAAGTCTCCCTGGAGACCGGCCGCGCGGGTCGTCTAGGGGGACTGTTGCGACATCAGGTGATCTCAGGTTATTCTGTTTTAATTTTAGGCTTTTGAACTTTGTCTTCTGATCTATTCAAGTGTGCAGAAAACTAACTGTTAAAATACAAAATGGTTTTTTGTTGTATGGAAAAGCAAAATGTAGTACAGTGAAGAACTGCCAAAGCGGTTTCATTTGAATGGTCACACAATAGGATTTGATCCACAGACTGAGAAGTAAAAACTCCTTCCAATTTCTTTTCGGTCAGCCATTTATGGTTCTACCTCGTTGAGCCTATTGTTTTCAATCTATCTAAAAACCTGATATACTGGGGCTTTATCGTGACCATTGCCTTAATTGTACTTGCAAACATCTCTTGGTTGAAAATGTGCATGGCGAGCGGCACGATATGGAACCAAATTTTCTTATCTCGCATTTCTTCAGACGCTTGAGTGATGTTTTGAATAATGGCTGATGATACCACTGAAGGACCAAGAGTATCAAACTGGTCGACTCTTTTAAGAGGTAAAGCTTGCGTTGCAGCTTTTGTAGTAGCCTCCATGTGTATTGTAGTGCTTTCAGTTTTGCTTGCTTTGATGAAACTTTCCGTTGCTTGCAATTCGGAAGAGACAGATGATTGTAGCCAATCAACTATCTCATTGGTTGGAAAGATTTGTGGAGGTGTCTTCATCTTATTTTTTGTTGTCATTGGAGCTGCAGCAATAGCTTGCAACAAAAGACACAGGCCTGAAAGCAACTCAGTAGACGTAGTTGTCTCCGAGATTCCCATGGAAGATTTGGAAAAATCTCCAGCCCCAGTCCTTCCGTACAATCATATTCCTCATCGTCCGGTATGTGCTGAAGCTTGTTGTGCAGATTTGCCTGACTATTTTATGGCGATTTCAAATGTTCCGAAAGTTTCTCCACACTTAGGACAGCGAGGATTTTGGACGGAAGACATTGATAACTCGGATGATGAAAAGGACCCGCCACCATGTTATGAGCAAGCTCTTAGAATGTATGGATTGATATCAATCGAGTCCACCGACCTTGAAGACCAGCATCACTGAGGGAAATAGTGAAAATACAAGAGTATGTTATCATAGCCCCGGATTATTAAGACTTCAGGTTAGCCAAACTTGCATTGACTTGGGTTGATTCTTTGAATCATCGAAGTTGGATTTTCGTGGACTTTCATGGGTGCAAATAGAATTCAGCTTTTAGAAATTATATCTCTTAACAGTCTTGCTTGTATTGAGCATACGGAAACCTCTACTTTCACACCACTGTCAAATGTCTGGGGCATTCGTGTTGACTTGGGTTTACTCTTTGAGTCAGCAGATTGAAGTTGGATTTTCATGTGTGCATAATTAAAACAGTGTTAGATAACAATTATTCACCGAAGTGAAGGTGGGTAGTCGTAGAAAGTATTTACCGAGCTGCGAAGCATACACCACTAGCCACCGACCCTGAGGTGAATAATTGTTTTAGTATATACTAAAACAGTGAGATAATTGAGCACAAAAATGATGATTTTTAACTCAAATGCTGTTGCCAACGATTACAATTTTTGCGCATAATGACCGAACGGCCGCGGCCGTCGCTTTTTCTTGCCGGCAAATAAAACCTTTGAGGGCATTTGTCTAGCTCTTGCGGGGAAATTTCTTTTGTATTTAAAATCATTCTGTAAAATAAGATTATTAAATTTAGTTTTAAGCTTATTTATGACCAAGTCAACTAAATAAAGTAACGCAAGAATTAAGCTTAATTTGCATTTGTAAACAAAAAACTTTTCCACCGGTTTTATAGATAAATTTGAGTCAAAAAGACAAATAAGCTTTACCTGTTAAAACTTCAAAACCGAACATCGTCACCTTAGTGTATTTCGGGAACAGCTTGCTTAATTAGTCGTGAAATTTCTTTGTTTGTTACGACAGCAAACCGGGAAGGCATTTTGCTCGCAACTTACGCGAGTTTGGCGTCGCTCGCTCGGAGGAACTGGAGGTGAATCAGTGAATACTGCAGGATATTCACTGATTGAGTAGCCAATCAGAGCGCGCGAAAAACACTATCCACTGTTTTAGTATATACTAATATATTTTATTTCTTAACAGTCTTGCATGTATTGAGCATCGTCCAGGGTTTGAGCACACAGGACTATAGTGAAAACCTCTACTTCCACCACTGTCTAATGTCTGAGGCGTTTTTAAAACGTTGACATGGGTTGATTGTTGGAGTCAGCAGATTTAAGTTGGATCAGGGGTGCAGAGTAGAAAACAGTTTTTAGACATTATATCTCTTAACAGTCTTACATGTATTGAGACATGAGTGAAAACCTTTACTTCCACCACGGTCAGACGCCGTCCGAGGGGTTTTATGTTTCATCTGTGTGATTTCATTTCGACCATTTACCACCTGATGGAAACATAGGCAAAAATGTATAGAACAGGTTGTTGAAGATTTCTTCTCAGTTCATTTTCCGAAATTAATGAGCTTCTTTTCGTGGTACTGTACTATGCACCCGAGTACAAGTATTTCTGGCAAATAGCGCCGACAGTGAGCAACACTCTCAGAGTTTTCAAACTCTTATTATTTAAAGTCCTTTAATAGATTTCAGAAAGGTTATTAGTAAGTTAGCAGCGTATTATTGATATATTAAACTTCGAATAGTGAAAGTAGGTCCCACCTTAGCTTTCAAGTATTTTGCTTCAATTTTTACAAATTTCCCTCGACGTCATGTGACAGAGAATCAAATGAAACTTTCGACTGTCAATTGATTCTGCGACCTAAAGCTAACTGAGCATAATAATTAGACTTTTGCCATCACAAAACGGATTTTTTGCTTAATTACTTATTAAAAACTCAAGAAAATGTTACCTAACTGTAAATTAGGGACCACTTGCAAAGTAATGGTAACGCACAGAACAGTACAAAAACTTAGTCAATGTAACAAAAAAAAATATTCTTATATGAGAAGTATGTAATTCATGCAATTGATTACTGACTCAAATAGTTTTATTTTAATTCGAGATGAATTAAAGCAGGGGCTGCAACTTGCGTCACTGGGGTTTTCTGCCAAGTTTAAACAAAGGCCATAATGGGATATGGCTCTTGGTTTAATGTACGTTTGATGAACTGCGAGATTTTTATTTTTACATCTAGCCTAAGTTTTTGGGACCCTTTTTCGTTCTTTCTTATGGTGGGGGGGGGGGGGGGGGGAGGGGTTGGATTAAGCCGTCTTTGTTAGATTGCTAAAGACTCCTACCAAGCATTAAGGGACAGCTTTTTAAGGGAAGTCTAACTAGAACTTATGTTTCGTATTCTAAGTTGCAAAGAAGAGTTATTTGTGAACCATATTTTGTTACTTGTGTAACAATATTTATATTCTTGCACCGGAACAAATCGCTACCTTTAATTAAAGTTAGAGTATTTCAAAATTCCAATATTAATATTTTTTGATCTCTCGGCTAAAGTAAATGAGTGGATTCTAGTAAGGTGGTTCCAACTTTTGATTCTTTGGACAAAATCCTGGGGTAGACTTATTTTGTAGTATTTTACTAAATGAAATTTTGAAAATTTTTCTGTCGAATCTTGCTTTTTGCCTCCTTACAGTTAGAATACTGGAGCAATAAAAATTGTGGAATAAAAGTATTACAGAAATTAATGCATTCATAAAAATTCATTAGGCACAAACTATATATGCTGCAACATTTGTCATATTTCGTAAAAAAAATAGACGACAGCGGTTAAGGATTTTTCATGTCACACCTACTGTGCTAATGTTTGGCCTCTAAGGGGCGTTTCTACAGTTTCTACGACCTCATATTATAACGCATTCTTAGTACATTGATGCACGTGCGATCAAAATTAAGTTTTGTATAGATTATAGACTGCTTGCATTCCCACTTTTTCTCTTCAAATCCGTCTAGTTCTTATCTCAGCTAGCGCGATTGCAAACCAAGACGTTATGCTACATTATACAGCTTACACCCTCGTTTATCGTGGCTGGGGTGCTTGGGTTTCTCGTGCAGCAACTTTGCAAAGAAAAACAAGACGCTGTGGGAGCGTTTATTTGGGTGTGGTTGTACTACGCGTAGGTGAAGTTTGTTGGGAGTATGAGGGATACGTAGGTAGTGCAGTGGTATTGTATATTTGGGGGATTAGTTGAGATGGGTGAAGTAGTAGGCGTGGAGTTATATTCGAAGTTGATTGCTAAGATAATGGGTGTAGTTTGAGAGGTAGTTGCTGGGTTTCTACATGGGGTTGTTTTTATTGGATGTTGGTAATAGAGTCGAACTCTGTTAATAGTGGCACTGAGGACGTGTTGATAGAAAATGTCTGTATTAAGTGACATGTTTTACAAACATACTGTTTTCCATCAAATGAAGACTTTACACTGAAAAACTTTTGACCCGAATATTTACTTTTGCCAAAAATGTGAACTGATCTCTTATAAAGTAATCGATTACAAACACAACATATATAACAGAGACCTTTTCTTATTTTATTTTTATACTGTTCAATGCAAAAATCTATACCCCGATCTGCCTGTTTTCTTTTCTCCTTGTTACTAAATGTTTCTTCTTAAGAGGTTCCATCTTGCAATACTCAAATGAACTATACCTGTGTTTCCTTGCAATCTTTTTCCTTTCCCTGATTTCAATTTTGCATGAGCATAATATAAAGTGTATTTCATATTGTAGTGTTTGACAATTTTACTTACTTTGTGTAATTTTACAAATGTCTTCAACTAATTTTTTATCTTCTCCTCCTTTCCTTCTCCTCGCTCTTTCCTTTTCGTCTTTCCTTTTCTTTCGTTACTATCATTTTGGAGCTCTTCGGCCTAAGAAACGTGGCTTTTGACGCTTTTTCGCACAAATGACTGCAAATTTTGGGGTTGGTTTTCAAAAAATCGGCTAGATGTTTCCAAAGGATTCTGCCAATCTGTGAAAGTGTGCCATTTGCTTGTGACAGACGGCGTTTCAGGCCATTTGGCATCAATGCTGCTCATTTCGCTGGATCAATTGTTTGCAAAGAATTCTGCCAATATGTCAAAGTGTGCCATCTCCAGTGTAACTCTTATAAAACCTAAGAGTGCAACCATTGCTTTTTTTTTCTTCTCCTCCTTTCCTTCTCCTCGCTTTTCCTTGTCTCCTTTCCTTTTCTTTCGTTACTTTCATTTTGGAGCTTCTCGGGCTTAAGAAACGTGCCTTTTGACGCTTTTTTTACACAAATGACTGCAAATTTTGTTGGTTTGGTTTTCAAGAAATTGGCTAGATATTTAATTATCTCTTTAAATCTTTTTGCCTTGAAGGAGGACTTAAAGCGGTACACCTCTTAAGGTTGGTTTAGTTGACATTGCGTAGAACAGACATTATTATAAAAAAGCCCCTTATAGGGGACAAAAAAATGCCTTCCACATTAAAGAAAAGATTGAATTGGAGTTTAATATAAAGCTCGTTTGAAGAGGTAATTGAACGTACGCGAGAAAAGGTTTATTATGTGCAGTAAAACCGTGGGGGCTACACAGTTTTGTTATTTTTCAGTTTGGTTATTAGACTATGACTCATTTTGTCGGGAAAATACCTGCTGTATGACATTATTGACTTCCTGCTGTTAGGGAAAGTCCCTGCTATAATTACTAACTTCCTGTTATGCGCTATTATTTAACAATTAATGAATGAGGCTGAGTATCTTATGAAGAATTATGGAGATCTCGGAGGGTGTTATCCGTCGAGGCCGTAGGCCGAGGCGGATAACACCCTCCGAGATCTCCATAATTCTTCATATGATACGAAAGCCGAATTCAACAATTGTTTTATTATTGATTCAAAATAATTCCTAGTTTAAAAACATGGCTAAAACATGCTTACCTCCATCGATCCATCGATGTTAAGTTTATCTTCGATAGTGCTGCACGTTTAGGTTTGTGCAGCTCCGCAAATATTCTCCAAAGAGCAGATGTCGCCTAGTTCACTCGTTTGAAACGAGTGAAATGTCCGCCATTTTTCAAGTTCACAAGCAAAACAACTCAACCTCGTCTCCAAGTCTTCTCGGTTAACGGTGCCTTAACCTGCGAAAACGCCAAATTTGGTCATCGGTAACTGGTTATGGTGAATTAAACGTGAACATTTAGCCAATCAGAATCAGGAAAATATTTTGAATGAATAATAAGTATATTTAAAACGCAATCAGCGGCCCGTAAAAAGGCCCAAGGTTGATAGTAGTATAGTAGTTGGGGAAAATGGACGAAGACGAAGACAGAGTCCATTTGTGTATCAGCGTTAGCGGTGCGAAACGCTGGTACCCTTAACTACTATACTACTGGTGTTATCGCCCGGCGAGTAAAAATAGAATCAACGGTTGTTCAACTGACAGCAGGATCGTTGCCAACGCTTTTTCCTTTCGAGCAAAAAAACTTCGGAAAGTTTTCTTTTACATCAGAAGCACGCTCAGTATAACTAACTTCAGCAAAGCAAAAACCTTGAACCTTCCACGTCAGATCATTCGACCAAAATGAAGAACAGCTATGGTTTCTCGATTTGGAAGCGGCCTCATCTTGAAAATATCTCCAGGCCAGGCAGCACAGAAAAATGCAGATATGCCTTTAGGCATTCAGGCACGCAGTTGATTCCCAGTCTCTATTGCAGCTCGGAGACTAGCTTGGTGGCATTAATCTGGGCCTTTATCCTGTTTCGGTTCGACTTAGTGAAAGTACGAGAGCTCCCCAACTCTCCAAATACAAATTGAACATTATTTACGAGTAAAACGCAAGAGAACTTTGTGACAGTTCGATTACCAACGAAAGAGACTCGACTTCGTATATAATACGAAGACCTTTTCAAGAAAAACCGGTTTGTCCAGTTTAAAGCGTGCTATAGAAAGTTCTCGAAACATTTTTAATATGCTAATTAGCTCCTTGAAATAAACAGTCATAACAAAATACAACTTAAACGAAAAATATGTCTAAGTTCCATTAAGACTGCTTCTCCCTATACGGCATTTTCTAAAGTGGTACCGACCAGGGGCTAGATTTGCTGCGGACGATGGTTAGTGCTCGCAACGTCAACTATTAAAAATATTTTCTTGGTAGTTATTTGAGTTTATAACGTTTATCAACTCGGTAGCTTATTATATCTGGAGTCTCCCTTGAGACCGGCCGCGCCAGTCGTTTCATCGGACTGTTGCGACATCAGGTGATCTCAGGTTATTCAGTTTTAATTTTAGGCTTTTGAACTTTGTCTTCTGATCTATTCAAGTGTGCCGAAAACTAACTGTTAAAATACAAAATGGTTTTTTGTTGTATGGAAAAACAAAATGTAGCACAGTGAAGAACTGCCAAAGAGGCTTGATTGGAATGGTCACACAATAGGATTTGATCCACAGACTGAGAAGTAAAAACTTCTTCCAATTTCTTTTCGGTCAGCCAGTTATAGTTCTACCTCGTTGAGCCTATTGTTTCAGTCTATCCAAAAACCTGATATACTGGGGCTTGATCGTGACCATTGCCTCAATTGTACTTGCAAACATCTCTTTGTTGAAAATGTGCATGGCGAGCGGCACGATATGGAACCAAATTTTCTTATCTCGCATTTCTTCAGACACTTATGTGATGTTTTGAACAATGGCTGATAATACCAATGAAGAACCAAGAGTATCAAACTGGTCGACTCGTTTAAGAGGAAAAGCTAACGTTGCAGCTTTTGTAATAGCCTGGATGTGTCTTGTAGTGCTTTCAGTTTTGCTTGCTTCGATGAAAGTTTCCGCTAAACATTGCAATTCGGAAGAGACAGATGATTGTAGCCAATCAACTATCTCATTGGTTGGAAAGATTTGTGGTGGTGTCTTCATCTTATTTTTTGTTGTCAGTGGAGCTGCAGTAATAGCTTGCAACAAAAGACACAGGCCTGAAAGCAACTCAGTGGACGTAGTTGTCTCCGAGATTCCGATGGAAGATTTGGAAAAATCTCCAGCCCCAATCCTTCCGTATAATCATATTCCTCATCGTCCGGTATATGCTGAAGCTTGTTGTGCAGATTTGCCTGACTATAATATCGCAATTTCAAATGTTCCAAAAGTTTCTTCACACTTAGGAACGCGAGGATTTTGGACGGAAGACATTGATAACTCGGATGATGAAAAGGACCCGCCACCATGTTATGAGCAAGCTCTTAGAATGTATGGATTGATATCAATCGAGTCTGCCGACCTTGAAGATCAGCATCAACAAGGAAACATTGAAGATACAAGACTATAGTATCATAGACCCGGTTTATTAAGACTTCAGGGCAGCCAAACTTGCATTGACTTGGGTTGATTCTTTGAATCATCGAAGTTGGATTCATGGACTTTCATGGGTGCAAATATAATTCAGTTTTTAGAAAATATATCTCTTAACAGTCTTGCTTGTATTGAGCATACGGACCAAGCGAAGACCTATACTTTCACACCACTGTCAAATGTGTGGGGCGTTCGCGTTGACTTGGGTTTATTCTTTGAGTCAACAGATTGAAGTTGGATTTTCATGTGTGCATATATAAAACAGTTTTAGGTAACAATTATTCACCGAAGTGAAGGTGGCTAGTCGTGCGAGATTTTTACCGAGCTGCGAAGCAGCGAGTTAAATACCCACACCACTAGCCACCGACACTGAGGTGAATAATTGTTTTAGTATATACTAAAACAGTGAGATAATTGAGCACAAAAATGATGATTTTTAACTCAAATGCTGTTGCCAACGATTACAATTTTTGCGCGTAATGACCGAACGGCCGCGGCCGTCGCTTTTTCTTGCCGACAAATAAAACCTTTGAGGGCATTTGTCTAGCTCTTGCGGGGAAATTTCTTTTGTATTTAAAATCATTCTGTAAAATAAGATTATTAAATTTAGTTTTAAGCTTATTTATGAACATGTCAACTAAATAAAGTAACGCAAGAATTAAGCTTAATTTGCATTTGTAAACAAAAAACTTTTTCACCGGTTTTATCGATAAATTCGAGTCAAAAAGACAAATAAGGTTTACCTGTTAAACCTTCAAAACTGAACATCGTCACCTTAGTGTATTTCGGGAACAGCGTGCTTGATTAGTTGTGAAATTTCTTTGTTTGTTACGACAGCAAACCGGAAAGGCATTTTGCTCGCAACTTACGCGAGTTTGGCGTCGCTCGCTCGGAGGAACTGGAAGTGAATCAGTGAATACAGCAGGATATTCACTGATTGAGTAGCCAATCAGAGCGCGCGAAAAACACTATCCACTGTTTTAGTATATATTAATACATCTTATTTCTTAACAGTCTTGCATGCGTTGAGCATCTTCCCGGGTTTGAGCACACTGGACTATAGTGAAAACCTCTACTTCCACCACTGTCAAATGTCTGAGGCGTTTTTAAAACGTTGACATAGGTTGATTGTTTGAGTCAGCAGATTGAAGTTGGATCAGGGGTGCAGAGTAGAAAACAGTTTTTAGACATTATATCTCTTAACAGTCTTACATGTATTGAGACATGAGTGAAAACCTTTACTTCCACCACAGTCAGAGGCTGCCCGAGGGGTTTTATGTTTCATCTGTGTGATTTCATTTAGACCACTTACCAAAAAAATGTATAGAACAGATAGTTAAAGATTTTTCTCTCATTGCATTTTCTAAAAATGATAAGCTTCTTTTCGTGGTAAATTCTATGCACCCGAGTACAAGTATTTCTGGCAAATAGCGCCGACGGTGAGCAACACTCTCAGAGTTTTTAAACTCTTATTATTTAAAGTCCTTTGGTAGGTTTCAGAAAGGTTATTAGTAAGTTAGCAGCGTACTATTGATATATTAAACTCCGAATAGTGAAAGTAGGGCCCACGTTAGCTTTCAAGTATTTTACTTAAATTTTTACAAATTTCCCTCGACGTTTGACAGAGAATCAGATGAAACTTTCGACTGTCCATTGATTCAGCGACCTAAAGCTAACTGAGCATAATAATTAGACTTTTGCCATCACAAAACGGATTTTTTGCTTCATTACTTATTAAAAACTCAAGAAAATGTTACCTAACTGTGAATTAGGGACCACTTGCAAAGTAATGGTAACGCACAGAACAGTACCAAACGTAGTCAATGTAACAAAAAAAATATATTCTTATATGAGAAGTATGTAATTCATGCAATTGATTACTGACTCAAATAGTTTTATTTTAATTCGCGATGATTTAAAGCAGGGGCCGCAACTTGCGTCGCTGGGGGTTTTCTGCCAAGTTTAAACAAAGGCCATAATGGGATATGGCTCTTGGTTTAATGTACGTTTGATGAACTGCGAGATTTTTATTTTTACACCTAGCCTAAGTTTTTGGGACCCTTTTTCGTTCTTTCTTATGGTGGGGGAGGTGGCGGGGGGGGGAGGAGTGGATTTAGCCGTCTTTTTTAGATTGCTAAAGACTCCTACTAAGCACTAAGGGACAGCTTTTAAAGTCTAAATAGAACTTATGTTTCGTATTCTAAGTTGCAAGGAAGAGTTATTTGTGAACCATATTTTGTTAGTTGCGTAACAATATTTATATCCTTGCACCGGAACAAATCGCTACCTTTAATAAAAGTTAGCGTATTTCAAAATTCCAATATTAATATTTTTTGATCTCTCGGCTAAACTAAATGAGTGGAGTCTAGTAAGGTGGCTCCAACTTGTGATTCTTTGGACAAAATCCTGGGGTAGACTTATTTGGCAGTATTTTACTAAATGAAGTTTGGAATTTCTGTCGAGTTTTGCTTTTTGCAACTTTACAGTTGGAATACTCGAGCGATAAAAATTGTGGAGTAAAAGTATTACAGAAATTAATGCATTAATTTCATAAAAATACATTGGGCACAAACTATGCTACAACAATTGCCATATACCGTAAAAAAAAAATAGACGAAAGCGGTTAAGGATTTTCCATGTCACTCCTATTGCGCTAATGTTTGGCGTCTAAGGGGCGTTTCTACAGTTTGTACGACCTCATATTATGACGCATTCTTAGCACAGTGATCCACGTACGATCAAAATTAAGTTTTGTATAGATTATAGACTGCTTGCAGTCCCGCTTTTTCTCTTCAAATCCGTCTAGTTCTTATCTCAGCCAGCGCGATTGCAAACCACGACGTTATGTTACATTATACAGCTTACACCCTCGTTTATCGTGGCTGGGGTGCTTGGGTTTCTAGTGCAGTAACTTTGCAAAGAAAAACAAGACGCTGTGGGAGCGTTTATTTGGGAGTGGTTGTACTAAGCGTAGGTGAAGTTTGTTGTGAGTATGAGGGATACGTAGGTAGTGCAGTGGTATTGTATATTTGGGGGATTAGTTGAGATGGGTGAAGTAGTAGGCGTCGAGTTATATTCGAAGTTGATTGCTAAGATAATGGGTGTAGTTTGAGAGGTAGTTGCTGGGTTTCTACATGGGGTTGTTTTTATTGGATGTTGGTAATAGAGTCGAACTCTGTTAATAGTGGCACTGAGGACGTGTTGATAGAAAATGTCTGTATTAAGTGACATGTTTTACAAACATACTGTTTTCCATCAAATGAAGACTTT